CGCTCGTCTTCTGTTCTCGGCTCCAGTTGTGAGGCTGAGATCTACGCAGGAGCCATGGCTGCACAGGAGCTTCGCTGGCTCACCTACCTGCTCACTGACCTCGGAGAGCTGCCTCGTTCTCCTCCAGTGCTGTACGTAGACAACAAGGCCATGCTGGCCTTGTGTCGGGAGCAGCGACTGGAGCACAGAACGAAGCACATTGCTCTCCGCTACTTTCTTGCTCGTGAGCTGCAGCAGCGTGGTCAGCTGCGTCTTGCGTACGTGGCCTCTGAGGCCAACACTGCTGATATTTTCACCAAGGCGCTTGCGCCTTGTGACCATCAGCGCTTCTGTACTCAGCTGGGCCTTGTGCCTATCTTGCCTCACTTGCTCACCTCTTGACCTTGCTTGTACTGTTACATATATATATACATGTTCTTGCTTGTCTAGCCTTTATATATATATGTGTACTCCTGCATGTGAACTGGCCTTGTGGCCTTGAACTTGTGCTCGGAATGTGTGGTGACTTTGTGATCCACCCTGAGCTTGTTTTGTTTTGCTTGACTGGTCTTGTGACCCCTTGTTCTCCCCCACTTTGCCTATGGGGGTGTGTCAGATTTATATGACATAGATACTGTAGGCTATAGTGGGGTAGCACATATGGGGTATAGTTTTCCTAGGGTTTGTATTTGTACCCCAACTTTCCCTTAGTCATTTCATTCCTTGTTTATTTCACATTTTGAACAAGGTTTCTTGTGACCATTCAAGCATTTCCTATATTTATAGCTTGTCGAACAAGTTTGGTGCCATTCGCAGCATGAGGTAGGAAGATATGACGTTTCGCCCAACTGAGCAGGGAAATCTGTGCAAGGATAGGCCTGTGCGACACGTGGTGCCAAATTATCGTCCGTTTGTTATTTTGAACAAGGTTTCTTGTGACCATTCATGCATTTCCTATATTTATAGCTTGTCGAACAAGTTTGGTGACATTCGCAGCATCGGGTAGGAAGATATGACGTTTCGCCCAACTGAGCAGGGAAAACTGTGCAAGGATAGGCCAGTGCGACACGTGGTGCCAAATTATCGTCCGTTTGTTATTTTGAACAAGATTTCTTGTGACCCTTCATGCATTTCCTATATTTATAGCTTGTCGAACAAGTTTGGTGCCATTCGCAGCATCGGGTAGGAAGATATGTCGTTTCGCCCAACTGAGCAGGGAAAACTGTGCAAGGATAGGCCTGTGCGACACGTGGTGCCAAATTATCCTCCGTTTGTCGTTTCAAATTATGTTTCTTTTTATCATTCAAGCCTTTACTATATTGTGAGCGTGCTGGAAAAGATTTGGTGTCATTCGCAGCATCTGGTAGGAAGATGTGCTGTTTCAAACAACTAAGCTGGGAAAATTGTGCAAGGATAGGCCTGCGCGCAACATGTCACTGTTTCAACATCTGGGTGTTTTGTTTACCTCTATTTCTTCGCACATTCCCTATTACATCCTATTCCCTAGCCATAGGATCTGGTTTGAGCTCGTTCGCACAACTACGCAGCACGTGGCGCATGTTTGCGCGTTCCATGGTGAATCTGTGCAAGGATAGGCATGTAAGCAACATGTCACCTCGCCAACGTTTGGATGCCTTTTTTACCTCTATTTTTTCACACAATTTCCTAGTACATCGTATTCTCTAGCCATAGGATCTGGATTGAGCTCGTTCGCACAACTACGCAGCACGTGGCGCTTGTTTGTGCGTTCCATGGTGAATCTGTGCAAGGATAGGCATGTACGCAACATGTCACATCGCCAACGTTTGGATGCCTTTTGTACCTCTATTTCTTCACACAGTTCCCTAGTACCTCCTATTCCAGTGCCATGGAAACTGGTTTGAACTCGTTAGCACAACTACGCAGCTCCTGACGCTTGTTCGTGCGTTTGCTGGCCTAAATCTGTGCAATGATAGGGCCGTGCGTGACATGTCAGCTCGCCAACGTTTGGTTGTTGTCGTTGTGTTTGTTGTCGTTGCCGTCGTTGTTGTTGTTGTTGTCGTTGTCGTCGTCGTCGCCGCCGCAGCAGCAGCAGCAGCAGCAGCAGCAGCAGCAGCAGAAGCAGGAGTAGTAGTAGTAGTAGTAGTAGTAGTAGTAGTAGTAGTAGTAGTAGTAGTAGTAGTAGTAGTAGTAGTAGTAGTAGTAGTAGTAGTAGTAGTAGTAGTAGTAGTAGTAGTAGTAGTGGTGGTGGTGGTATGAAGACGCTTAAACACGTTTAGATTAAGTCGTACCAAATCTAATTATAATGCTGTTAGAGTAAATCGGATACTACACTGTGTGGGAATCAAATACACAGATAATATGAATCTGGTAATATGTGCTGTCGTAGTTTAGGATTCTTCAATAGCTTGATAATTTGCATAAATCATGTGCTAATACAGTCTCAAGTGACGTGATACACTAACTTTCAATTTTAGGGCCTGTCTGTCTAGTTTGTTAACAACGCTGGGGAGACGGATGCCCTTAGTTTGGTAACACAATTCTGACTTATCAACGGTTCTCCGGGTTCACCGCGTTGACACAATCTGACTCAACATTTTCCGCCAAACAAAACTTCGCCCCAGCACAGGTGCTCTCGACCGTCGATCCCAAACTGTCAAATCTTGACCATCAACCTTTACAGCCTCCCCACCCAGACGAGCATCTCTTCATCTCGATTCTCCCTCCCCCTTATCTGTCACCACATATATGTGCTTGCGTTTTTTTGTTGTGTTTCCTGTCTGCCATAGATACACGTTTTCTCAGCCACGGAATTGTCCCGGTCTCGTCGATCCACTATGCGCCAGGCGTATCGGCGCTGGTTGTCGCGCTGCTCGTAACGTCGTCGACGGGTCCTTTAGTGTTCGAGGTTTCATGTTGTTGCGAAATCGAGAACTGTAGGAACGCGAAGTCTCTTGCTTTTTCGTTTCTCCTATCCACGCTTTCCCGTTCCTTCCTACTAACGTTATTCTTTTCTTTGCAGAGAGCGACTATCACGAGTGGCGCATCGCGCTCGATTGGCCGATCGCTCGCAGCATCACGCGGCAAGCGGCGCACTTCCGCCACAGCATGAGGAACTTCCGCCGCCGCCGCGTGCGGAACTTGTGAGGTGTGGCGGCGCTGGTTGTCGCGAAGTTTCATTCGCGAGCCATTAATGTGTTTTTTCCTGCGTTCCCTCCTTCCCTCGTTCCTTCTCTGTTCTCCCCGCTCTCTCCGTTTTTCCTTCTAATTTTCCTACATCCCCGTTTTCCCGCGTTCCTAATTCCCAATTCCCCGTCACCCATACTTGTGTTCGCAGATAGCACTAGCGTGGCGCCACGGACCAAGAGCACCTCGCGCGCGCGCTCGCTCGCTCCCGTGCACCTTGCGAGCGCGCGCTCGCTCTCTACAACGCACTCGACGAATGGCTTCAGCAGCGGCAGTGTAGCGTGGTGAGTGTAACGAATGTAGCTAGGAGCTGTGGGGCCCTGATTCTTCAACCCGCTGCCGTCATGTTCCCACTTGCGCTACTTCTCTCTCCCCTCCCTACCGTCCGCCCTCATGTTCTCATGCGCCTGCCTCCCTTGCTCCCCCAACCGTGCGCTCCCACACCCCATCCCCTCAGGGCGGCGACGTGTTCGACTTCCCCTTCTCAACCCGTCTGCCCTTTCCCCTCCTTGTGCCGCTCTTCCCCGCCGCCTCCCCTTCCCCCTCTTCTCCCCCCTTATCTGCGCCCACCAGAGTCTACCTTCCGCCCTGCCTCAGATGGCCACTACTCCGCCCATCCCTCCCCCACCCGCAATGCCTCACTCCTCCCGCCCCCTCTTCCCCCCCCCTTCCCCCCCCCCTTTCCCCCACTTGCCATGCTCTTGTGACATTTCATGAGTCAACACCGTGTATTGCAACCAGCCTGCCCGTGGTTCCAGCAGGACCTCTTTCCAGGCAGGTGGAGGTAAGTGCCCATTTTATTTCCTTTGTTTTTTGTTTGTTTGTTTGTTTGTTTTTTTTTTAGTATTTTTTTTTTTGTCGTTGGGCATCAAATGAAATGTTGCTGACTTCCTAACTTGTTTCTCTGTGCAGGTTAAATATAAACCGAAGGCTTGATAAGGAGCTGTTTTAAAAGCTGTTGATAATGGCTACTAGGTCAAATATTTAACTAGTTATATTGCATATCCATGTAGTTTGTGCTAAATAATCCTGGATGCAATTTGTGTGATTTATATAAACCATAATCTCGAACAAGTACAGCAATTAATTAGAACACCAGCAAAGCATTGTACAGTAAATGGGATATTTATAGTAATCGTGTTACGACCATTATCGTAGTTACCAGGTTATTTTGATGGGCGAGGTCGTCTGTAACGCGACTGTGAAACCGAAGGATCGTTGGACACGTGTCGAAGCATCGACAGTCAGATCTTGTGGTGGTTTACAACTGTTGATGAATGTGTTTTTTTTTTTGTAATATTTTCGACACACAGTTGTAGCGAGTTGGTCCGTAACGGAGATTTCCGCATCAATTTCAGTTCACAGAAATCAGACACGTGGACAGTGTCGGTTTTTTTCGCATCCACACAGAATTGAGTAACCGTTTTCGAAAAACACCCGCACGGTGTTCGTCAGCGAATCCGGAACGCGCCTACATTCTGGGAGAGCCGAGGTTGAAATGCAGGTTGAGATTCAAACTTACCTTCACGATAACCCTGAAACATACGTTTGCCGAACCTGCGAACACATGCCGAGCTTCAAACCCTCTGAAAACGTATGTTTCCCACTGTCGTGAACGTAGCTCCTGAAAAACAAACCCCCCCGCAACTCTGACGATACCCCAGCGTAGGTTTCTGAAGCACCAATTTTTGAGATGGGTGCATAGCGACAACTATCATTCTGGCAAGAGTGGCAGCGTGGGGGGAACGGATACTCCAGAGCCGGCGATCGCGACACGAGAGGGAGGAAGCGGTGATAGGGAAGGGAGAGGAGAGACGAATTCGGAGTTCTGGAAGCACGTGAGGCGGAGCGAAAGCATGAGCTGGACGTGCCATGGCGATAGTAATGGCGAGATGGTCGATAAGTTGCTCCGTGCGTGAATAGTCGGATGATTTGTGATGCATATGACCATGTACTATAATCACTCCCACGTTCGATTTGACATTGAAGTCGGTCTTTCAGAGAAATTCTTCCACAATCATGCATGCTTACATGCACACTGGGATTCTTTCTGAGATTCATCATTACGCGCATGCTGATATTTTTTTCTGACATCCATGCTTGCATGCTTGCTGACATTCATTCTGACATTCATGCTAGCAAAGCTTCGGTTTGCTCTTTTTCACTTCCCCTTCCTCTGCCGTCGATCCATCCAACTACGCGACGCCTGCCTCTCCCTGTCCATGCTTCCTTCCAGGCAGTGGAATCGTCCAATCAGAACGCATCGCGGAGGCCATGAAGCAGATTGACCGCGCTGACTACGTGTTGACCAAGTCAACGGCCTATGAAGACTCTCCACAACCCATAGGTGCGTTGACCAAGTCAATGGCCTATGGCGATTCCCCGCAGCCCACAGGTGTGTTGACCAAGTCAATAGCTTATGACAATGTTCCCCAGCCCATCAGTGAATATGATAAGGGCTCTTGAGAAGTATCGATGCATGTTTCATGTGTGTGTGTGTGTGTCATGTGCAGTATGGCTCACATGGGATGGCTGACGATTGTTACCGCATCCTTACGTCTCCATAATCCTTCATGGGCTTTTGTGGCGTGTGCACTGTAGCATGGCATGGGATGTGGCATGACATGTGGCCTGTGTTGCATGTGTGGGCATGGCATTTTACCTGTGGCATGGCATGTGACCTGTGGCATGGCATGTGGCACGACATGATGGCATTCACTGTGCATGAGCAGGTTTCAACGTCACCATATCGGCGCCTCACATGGTACGTAACCATTCTGAATGCTGGTGCGAAACCTTGCTCGCTTTTCGGTCCCTCTTAGATGCAACCTCCTCACCATCGCCACCCCCCACCAGCACGGCTGCTGCCTCGCCTTTCCTAGAGAATCACCTGTAACCGGGTAACCGCGTTCTGGACGTGTGGTCGGGCTACGAGTAATGGTCACCTCACTTCCTCCTTCCCCCTTCAAATTCCCCTCCTCACCACCCCCATCACCCCTAACCATCCGCCATCTCTCCCAACCCCTCCCCTCCTCCTCCCACGCATCCCCTTCAACCCTGGCCCTTCCTTTCCCCCTGCCAGCACGGCTACTGCCTTGCCTTTCTCGAGAGTCACCTGCAACCCGGAAACCGCGTTCTGGACGTGGGGTCAGGCTCGGGCTACCTGACAGCTGTCATGGCGCTATTGGTGGGCCCCACGGGGCGGGCGGTGGGCGTGGAGCACATCCCTGAGCTCGTGGAGCGGTCCCGGGCGGCAGTGAAGGCCGGCCGGGCGGCAGAACTGATGGACGGCGGACAGCTGTCGATACATGGTTGGTTGGCATGGTGGGGTTTCGAGGAGAAGGGGAAGGGGGAGGGGCGAAAGGAAGGGACTGGGGGGGGAAGGCAGGGGAGAAGGGGGAAGTGGGGAAAGGAAGGGATTGGGGGGGGAAGAGAGGGGAGGAGAGGGAAGTGGGGAAAGGCTTTAGGTTCTTGTTTCCTTTTTCTTTTTTTGGTGCTGTGCTCCTATGCTTCATCCTGCATCCTTTGAGGATTCGCAGAGTTGCTTTTTGCTGAGAATGCATAAAAGCGTCTTCTGTTCGCCCATCCTGTCCACCTTTCCCCTACCTCTCTCCCTTTTATCCACACACACACACGCAACCGTTTCCTTCAGTCCTCTCACAACCAGCAATGATTTCTCATCTCACCCTTCCCTCTTCCCATTCCACCCATTACTCCTCTCATCTCACCCAACCCTCTTGCAATTTTTTGGCCATTCCTCCCTCTTCCTTTACAGAGGCGGATGGGCGGCACGGGTACCCAGATGCGGGGCCATATGATGCCATCCACGTGGGCGCTGCTGCTCCTGGTGAGACGCTGTGCTCTCGGCCGGCGGCCGCCACTGTGCTTGAAGTCATGCTCTCCGCTGCTGTCTGTGCGTGTTGTCTCCACCTCGCACCCTCTCATGCCACCTCTCCACTACCCAATTTCTACTGATCCTCCAACTAAAACCACCCTCCCATCTCTCCCTGCCTTTCCCCTTTCCCTCCACCCCAACCCTCCCATTCCTTTTCCCTTGCCAAAGCTTCCCCAGACCCTGGTAGACCAACTGCAACTGAGCAGCACACTGATAACACCCTCCCCTGCCTTTCCCCTTCCCCTCCACCCCACCCCTCCCCATCCCTCCCCATCCCTCGCCACCCCTCCTCACCCCATCCCACCCCTCCCTGTGCTTTCTCCTTTCTAGAGCTCCCCCAGGCCCTAGTGGACCAGCTGAAGCCGGGCGGCAGGATGGTGATTCCCGTTGGACGTTTCATGCAGGTGCGAGGGCGGGCAAGGGGTGATGGAGGGGAGATGGGGGGAGGGGAGGGGAAGGGGGGATTAGGGAAGGAAAGGGAACAAAATTGGCACATTGGGGGGGGACCAGGGGTGTGATAGGTTGGGGTGCCGCTGCAACTGTTTTGAGTCGTCTCGATGCAACTGTTTTGAGACGTCTCGATGCAACTGTTTTGAGACGTCTCGATGGAACTTCAGCTGTAACGTCTCGATGCAACTTCAGCTGTAACGTCTCGATGCAACTGTTTTGAGACGTCTCGATGCAACTTCAGCTGTAACGTCTCGATGCAACTTCAGCTGTAACGTCTCGATGCAACTTCAGCTGTAACGTCTCGATGCAACTTCAGCTGTAATGCAACGCAATGCAACGTGCCGAGGCACCTCAAATTGTGTCCTGCCTTCTTCCCCCCCTCTCCCCTGCCTTCTCTTGCTTTTCCCCAGGACCTACAGGAGATCATGAAGGCAGGTGACGGCACCGTCACGTTATGGGGCGCCTCTAATTGCTCACAAACCAACGCTTGCTTCTCCCTTCCACTGCCTCCTCTCCTCTACTTTCCGTGCTACCCCGCAGGACCTAGAGGTGATAGACAAAGGTGCAGACGGCACTGTCACTCGCACCACAGCCATGGGTGTGCGATACGTGCCACTGACTGCTAAGGCGAAGCAACTGGGGAGGGAGTGAGTGAGTAGTGTTTGAGTGAGTGAGTGAGTGAGTAAGTGGAGGGAACAGGCAGAAAGGGTGGTAATGGGTGGTTAAAGCATGACAGCCATGGGCGTGCAATACATGCCGCTGACTGCTATGGAGAAGCAGCTGGGGAGGGAGTGAGGGAGAGTGAGTGCGGAGTGAGTGGGTGTGTGAGGAGGTGAGCGAGTGAGTGAGTGAGTGAGTACAGAAAATTAGGGACGGACAGGCAGTTAGCATGACAGGGAATGGTGGATGGACGCACATCAGCCCTGTGGGGGTGCTACGTACCACGACTGCCAAGAGACGATTTCTTAGGCGCCTCAAAAATGGTCTGTGGGGGCGCTATGTGCCACGGCCCACGACTGGCAAGAAGAAGCAGCTGGGGGGGAATGGGAATGTGGTAGGTGGTGTTTGTGTGATGCCCTGGCTGGCACATACACTTCATGATCAGCCGTGAATGTGTCCGACTATTCGCTAACTGCTAAAGAGGAGCAGTTGGGGGGGGAGGTGAGAGTGAGTGAGGAATTGTGTACATATGAAGGAGGGTCCGTTGTGATTGTTGATGCTATGTCTTAATGGTGACTGAGCGAGGAAGTGTGTGTACGAACGAATAGGAGAGCTGTGTTGTGTGCCTCTGCCCCTTGCTGCGTTAGAGAGGCTGCTGATAGGTGATGGGGTGGAGGAGAAGCACAGGCGTTTCTAGCTAGGGTTGGTTAGGTTTTGATATGGTGCACCATTGAACATGAGCATGGCTTGTCATGTAATGTTACCGCATGTGCCGTGCAGCTGCTAACCAATCCTCGTTGCCGTATATTCAGCATGTTCCTGCATGTAACTTCCTTGTCTATATCTCAGCATGAAGAGTGCTACAGCGCTAGACGTACTGTAGCACTGCATTAGCATTACAAATGTTGGCTTGTGGTAAGTTGCTATATCATATACAGTACTGGTTAGCTAGTCAATACCATATCAGGTGCTACAGATGGTTAAGGTGGAACTCAATTGTGCTAGCACTAAAAGTTGTTACATCACCCTTCCCTGCTACCACCGTAGGAGCTCCTGTCTGTTGCTTTGAAGCCTTCTCAACCTCCATCAGCCTTTGCTGTCTCTGCTTTATTCTTGTCTCTGCCGCCCACTCAAACACGGACTGCCTTGATTTGAAGCTCCCTCCTGCTCTTGTTGTTCCAGACTCTCCTGAACTTCCTCCTGCGTTTGGCATCCTCCGTGTTGGCATGGCTGCTGATTCAGACACTCGTCTCTCCAGACACCGAGGCTGCTCTGCCAGCTTAGGCAGTGGCACCGAGCCTCCGGCCGAGGTCAGGGACTTGCTCTCTGCGAATCTCAAAAATTCAAAACGATCCAATTGGCTCTGACCACCTCGGTGGTTGTAGGATGTTGCTGAATGGACTACACCAACATCACAATATACGGATGTCCAGTCTGCTGATCCTGTAACGGGGCTGACTAAAACGGGACCACTCCCAAAAATTCCGCTGCTGATGTCGCAACTTCGGGAATTAATCCGGCTGTTTCGTCGCCAATTCGCCGCATCCACGTCAGCAGAAACTCCAGGAGCTCCATTATCGCAGTAACACGTAGCGGAAGCGGTTGTTGCGGTGAGGGAAGCGCTTCGCATGCGGCCACTGGGACACGCGGTCGGCTTCGTTGGCGGATGCTCGGAGATATTAATTTTCAAAGAGGAAACGTCAGGGTGATTCGCCGTTGCTGGACGAGTACTTGATTTGGAGCCGTCCAGGGGACTTGTCGGAGAGCAATTGGTCGGCGAGTATGCGACGCTGTCGCACTGGTGTCGCCCAGAGACGCCAGAACCATGGCGCACGGGGTCGCGGTTGAACCAGGTAGCCTGGAAGGCCCCGTTCGATGAACAAATCTCGTGGTAAAGTTGTAATTCGCCTCGCGATGGCTCAATTGGCCCGTCAGGATGGCAGCAGCACTTCAAGTTCTCGCAGGGATTGCTAAGAAAAGCGGAGGAATTCAGCATTTCGACGTGTATTGTTGGCTCGGACATGGCGGCTGTAATTTTTGAAAGAAACAACGTCAAATAGTTCAAGACTTCGATATTTAGAAGGACGCAGTCGTAACGGACGGCGAACGGTGAATTATGCTTCAGGAAAACTTAGGCCCTCGCTGATTCAAGTAGCATGTGATAACAATTTTCTAACTGAAGCTTTCCAAATTTGAGATGCATGAAGTGGGGAGGAGAAGCGCAAAACAGCGTGAGGGGTGGGCAGCAGTTGACGAGGGCCTATCTGGAAAATGCTGGTTAGATCTGAATGTGTATATAATATGTTTCAGAAACAAAATGCGTTCGGACGGTACCGCGATGAGTCGCATGTCACATTCCCTGGCGGGTGGTTGTAGTCCAACAAAACTCGTAACGCAGGGTTGACTTCGATGTGAGAGGGCGCCCTATACCACAACTTCCAAAATACGCCAGTGACAAGGAAGAAACAGATGGGAAGGGTGGGGTGGGAGAGGAGGGAGGAAGTCGAGGGCATTTTACAGCTGTGCAGCACATTTTTAGCACGCGGCTCAATCCACCAATCCCTTGCGGTTCCGTTCCGTGGCTGGAAAATACCAATTGCTGCCAGCTGGAAGGAAATCATTAAAGCGATGCGGTTTTGAGGCCACAGGTGCAGAACTATCTGGTGTCCACATACGAATTTTGTGGAGCTCCTGCAATCTCACGAAAGACACCAGATGAACCACATTAGTAAAAATAAGACACTGGCGCTACAATCTGGTTGTACATTGCTAGTTTCTCTAATATGTCGTGGAATTTCGCTTTGAACTACACAACATTTGTACTAGCCAAGACAAAAAGTTGCCCGATAAAGTTACTGTGCTGCTCACGTTTCCAGCATTTTGCCAGCATTCAAGGGATGGCTGGTTTTGTCAACTTGGGTTCCTGAGAAGATGCTCTACAGTATTGAAGGATGCGTTGCGCTCCGTCTAGACCGTGTTCTTGCAACAGTGCATATACAAAACCGCAAACCTCCAAATGTTGTTCGCTTTTCCAGAATGTACGCGATGAAATCTGATTTTCCTCTTTCCTAATTTGCTGAAATGTACAAGCATTCCGTGGAGTCCGTGTCGTTTTCAACCGTGAGATTGGTTGGACCTTGCTTGTTGTGTTCACGAGAATCGGAACAGTTCGAGTGGTGCGAAAGGATTGTGCTGCTGTGAAGTGTACACCGCACAAACCTCCCGAATTTCAAAAAGCACTTGTAGCTCCAATTTTCCATTTTGTGCTGGATTGAAGGATATTTTATAGAGACTGTATGCTCGACCATATTGCTCTTCACTAAAAGCGAGACTGAATTGTAGTGAGGATTTCAGTTCATGCCTGGCGAGGAAGGCAGAAAGCCTGGAGGACACCCAAGCCAGAAACCTAGAAGAGAGTGAACACGGGGAATCTCTAGAGTTGTGTGTAGGGTGCGTGTATGGCGGGAGTGCTGTTTTATGCGCATCGACCGCCGATATCGCTGGCGTTCATTCCAATTGCAAACCGTATTTCGCGGAATGCTCGGGGAGGAGCGGAGGCGAGACGCGGAGTAGCTCCTGGTTCGCTCAACAGTCGCAGCCTCCCGTTCCTGCAAAATAGAACCTCGAGAATACCGAGACTGGTAACTCTACGTTCGGCGAAACCTCTCCGCGAAGAGGTATCGACCGATTTAGGCGATTTCGCTTCGGAAACCGAGATTCGCCGCGGATCGAACGTCCTCGCTGGCAGCAGCATGTCAGACGCGGAGGGTGCGAATGATCCGATACCAACGAACTCGATATCAAATGTAGAAAGTGCACCAGCTTTAAGTGCTCTTCGAGGAACCGAACAGGGGAACGCTGCGTCAGGGGAGATGGAGCCAGTGACCCGCTTTGATCCGTCGTCCAATGAGCTGCTGCCGCGTGGCAGGTTTCGCGGAGTGGTTGTAGCGGGGACGTTCGATCGCTTCCACGACGGCCATCGCACGCTGCTTCGCGTGGCTGTAGCGATGGTGGCGGCGACACGAGAATGGGGGAAGGGAGATACCATCACCAGCATCAATGGCGGTGGCGGTAGCAGCAACGGCGGTAGCAGCAACGGCGGTAGCAGCAGCTGCATTGTTGTAGGGATTGGATGGACCTCTTCTGAGCAAGAAATATCTCAGTGAGGTGCGGTGAATCATGGCAGTGAGGTGTGAGGTGTGGTGAAGCATGGCAGTGAGGTGTGAGGTGCGGTGAAGCATGGCAGTGAGGTGTGAGGTGCGGTGAAGCATGGCAGTGAGGTGTGAGGTGCAGTGAATCACCCCCCCTCTCCTTCCCCAATTTCCTTCCATCTTCCTTAACCCTCCACTTTCACATCTCCCCTTCTCCTCAATCCCATCCCCTCATCCCCATTCCCCTCATCCCCATTCCTTTCATCCCCACCCCATTCCCCTCATCCCCGTTCCCCTCATCCCTGTTGCCCTCATCCCCGTTCCTCGAATCGAATCCCTGTTCCCCGAATCGAATCCCTGTTCCCCGAATCGAATCCCCATTCCCCAAATCGAATCCCCGTTCCCCGAATCGAATCCCCGTTCCCCAAATCGAATCCCCGTTCCCCGAATCGAATCCCCGTTCCCCGAATCCCCGTTTCCTCAGATGATCCAGCCCTACAATGAGCGCAAGGAAGCTGCTGAGAAGTTTCTGCAGGAGGAGCTACAGCGACAGGGCAAGGCCCCAGGCTTAGTTCGGCTTGATTTTGCGCCGATCCAAGATCTCGTACCTGAGCGGGGAGGTTCGGATCCGAGCCTGGACTGCATTGTGGTTAGCGAGGAGACTGTGGGAGGCGCTGCAGCTATCAACAGGATGAGAGCGGCCAATCAGATTGCTCCGTTACACGTAAGTGCAGCTTCATTTCTGCTCCTAGTTGTACCAGCCCAATGATCGTGATGTCTGTTTTTTGGTGCGCCTCAAATTCAACCCCCCCTTGTGCAGGGTGAACCGAACATTTTTGGTGTTCGCCTGTTGCTCATGTCTAGTGCACGCCCATTTGCATCCATCAGGTAGTGGTGCCGTCAACAGTGCCAGCCCCTGTTGTCGAGGTACCTTTTAAAAACCGACCCTCCTTTGTGCGTGCACACGTCCATGCCCATACACCAGGTAGTGGTGGCATCAACAGTACCAGCGCCATCAACCGCTGCTCTTCCAGTCGCTCCCACCACCACCTCTCCGGCGGCTGACGTCAGCAAGCTGAGCTCATCCCTGCTCAGGGAGCAATGTCTCGGAACTTTCCTGCCTCTGCCAAGGCGAGTTCTCCACACGTTTCACGGATGTTTTTTCGTCTCTCACCTTTCAGTGTTTCCCACACTCCACCCAGATGCTGTTCCTTGCTTGCTTGTTCTCTTGCGTGCTTGCTTTCCTTCCCCCGGCCTGGCATGTGACTGCCTTTAATTTTTCTCGACACACTCTTCTCTTCTATGCATCCCCCTATTCCTCTTCCCCGATTCCCTCCCCCCCTTCCCTTTGTTTCCTCGCACCGTCTCACCATGCCAGCAAGCAGAAGAGGCAGCAGCAGAGGCAGAGGCGGCAGCACAAGGGGCGGCTGCAGGCAGGGCCGTACCTGGTGGGGCTCACAGGGGGGATTGCCTCTGGCAAGTCCACCGTTGCTCGCTTGCTCTGCTCCCTCGCCTCCTCCTCCTCCTCCCCCTCCTCCTCCTCCTCCACTGCTCCTACCGCTGCTGCTGCTGCTGCCACTGCCGCTGTTCCGATTGAACCAGCAACAAGCGAGGAAGGTGTGAGGGAGGGGCGGCATTCAGAGGAAGGGGAGGCAGGGCAAGGGCGGCATTCAGTAGAGGGGGAGGCAGGGCAGGGGCGGCAGTCAGGGGAGGGGGAAGCAGGGCAAGGGCGGCGGTGGAGGGTGGGGGCGGTGGACTGTGACCGGCTGGCCCATCGGGCATATGAGCCGGGCACGCCTGCTTACCGCCGCATCGTGGACCTTTTTGGGGCCTCTGTTGTGCGCCCCACAGGTGGATTGTGTAGTCTTCAGGAGCTTTGTGTTGGAATCTGTCTGCAGGTGGGTTGCGCGCCCAGCAGGTGGGATGTGTGGGTATGTGCCTTTGGGCGAGTAGTACATGTCCTTGTGTCTTTGGGCGAGTAGTACATGTCCTTGTGTCTTTGGGCGAGTAGTACATGTCCTTGTGTCTTTGGGCGAGTAGTACATGTCCTTGTGTCTTTGGGCGAGTAGTACATGTCCTTTGTCTTTGTGTTGCTCCTCTCATTCCCTCCCTGCTCGACTCCTCTCCCTCGTGGCCTTCCTTCTTGTCCTTAATTCGATGCCTTCTTTTCCTTCTCTTCCTCACGCTCTTGTTCTTTTTGTTTCTTTCTCGGATGCGGCGGCTTCCAGATGGGCAGATTGACCGGCCGGCACTGGGAGCGCAAGTTTTTTCCTGCCCGGAAAAAATGGCTGCCCTGACGGGAGTGGTGTGGCCAATGGTGCGACAGATAGTGGAGGAGGAAAGGGAGGCTGCAGGGGCAGGCGAATGGGAGGTGACTTTTGCATCATCTGAAGAAGCATCTACTTCTCCCAAGATTACTGTAAAAGCATCCACTCTCTCCAAGCCGACTGCAAAAGGGTCTATCTCTGAGACGCATGAAAACTCTTATACCATCCGCCTCGTAGCTCCTCCTGCGGATGTGCTTATAGTGGAGGCGGCGATGATGGCCGAAGCTGGCTCGGACCGAACTGTAGACGAGGTCTGGGTGGTGTTTGTTCCCGAGGCTGAGGCGAAGGCTCGGTTGATGGAGCGGAATGGGGTGACTGAGGGGGAGGCGGGAAAGAGGATTGGTGCTCAGGTTGGTGGATGGGTGCATAGAGAGGGAAGCTTGGTTTCTCTTTGTGTGTGTGGGGGGGTTGGATCTGCACGTAGGGATGTGTGGGTGGGGATGTGTGTGTGGGGGTGTGTGTGTGGGGCTGTATGTGTGCTTGAGTGCATCGGAACACCCCTACCTCCTCCCCCCCCTGCCACAGCAGTTCCTTCTTCTCTGCAATCTTTCCTCCTCTTCTCCATTCTGCCTCTCCCTTCTTACCACTTGCCTTTTTCTTCTTTTCTTTCTCCACCCTCTTTCTCGCCAACTTCTCTCTAATTTCTCACCATCACCACCTTTGTCACTTATTCCCTCCTTTTTCTTCCCTCCACCGCTTTTCTTTATCGTCACTTCCCACTTGCACATCCACCACCCCAGATGACGTCAGCCGCCAGGCTGGCACATGCTGACGTGGCCATCTACAACGGCGCCAGCGAGGATGCCACGCAGCGCCAGCTGGAGCGTGCGTGGTGTGAGGTGGCGACGCAACGAGCAGGACCATGCTTGGATGAATGGAGAGAGAACTTCGGTAGGCTTCAGAGACAATGGAATTTGGTGACTTTTGAGTCGACTCAAAAGTCACCTCGTTACCATGGCACATGCTTGGATGAAGGGAGGGAGAACTTCGGTAGACTTCAGAGACAATGGAAATCATCTGCTGGGATGGCACACTCTAAGGCTGCGCCTTTGCAGCCTCATTTCCTGGAAGCTACGGAGTCTGTATGGACCCGTTGGGCGGCGCTGATGTGGCGCCTGGATGTAGATGCTGACGTGGCAGAGAGATGGTTCCATAAGCTGATGTTGGTGAAAAAGGGGGAGAAAAGGGAAGAAGAAGGGGAGTGGCAGAGGGGAGAGGAAGGGCAGGAGACGGAGGAAGGGCAGGAGGCAGAGGAAAGGCAGGAGTGGAGGGTGCAGCAGGTTAGGGTGGCGGGTGGGTGGGTGGCAGCTGTGATTCTCTCCTTCCAGCATCTCCGCAGGTACGTTTGCAAGCAGAGAAGCACTTCTTTGTGTGTGCTGTGGGCCAGATTGCCGCTCTGCTGACCTGCAGGGGGTGCAGCTGGTTGGGGTGGGGATGGGGAGAAAAAGGGGGGGGAGGGACTTGGGTGGCTGCTGTGATCCTCTGCTTCCAATACCTCTTCAGGTGCGCCATTGGCCCATTGCATGCATTGATCCTTGCTTCCTTCTTTCAATATACATCCTCCTCTTGGGGGATCACGAAATTGGGTGCACTGCTGCATCCATGTGTGTGCGTGTGTGCACGAGACACTTTGTGTGTGATGGGAAAGAAGGGGGGGGTGTGGGGGAAGGAATGATGATCACACTTGTCTCTGTGTCTCTGTGTCTCGCTCTGTTGATATCCCTCTCTCTCACTGTGTGCACGCAGTCAGATACATCGTGTCGAGAATCCCGACTCTCTCAAGCTCTCCGCCTCTCTGTCTCTCTGTCTCGCTCTGTGTGTGTGCGCCCGCACCCTCTTGCGTCTGTGTGCATGCAGCCAAATCCATCGTGTGGAGCATCCCGACTCTCTCAAGCTAGCACTCTTCTTCGCCCTCCATGCTGCCTTCCTTGGCCCCCTCTCCCCACCTCTCCCTCCCTCCACCATCCATCCACCCACCTCCGATCACCCACCACCTGCCTTCCCATCTCCCACACCTGGCTTCGAGCTTCTTCTTGGCGCCGGAGTGCTTGCTGCTGCAAGGGAGGCGCTCCAACACTTGTCCATGAATGCCAGCCTTCCCCAAAAGTGCCTGGTGAGTGGAGTGGGAGCTTCCAATAACCCACCACCTGCCTTCCCATCTCCCACACCGGCCTCTGAGCTTCTTCTTGGTGCCAGAGTGCTTGCTGCTGGAAGGGAGGCACTCCAACACTTTGCCGTTGAGGCCGGCCTTCCCCAGGAGTGTCTGGTGAGTCATATGCGGGTGGGGATTTATTGTCAAGTGTGGGGTGGCTGGGTGCGTTGGTCGTAGTGACTTGGTATTGTGTTACAATATGTGGTGTTGAGAGAGAGTCTAACCGGCATCGCCAAATACTTATTATTTGTTTATCTCACGTTTTTCCTACTATGCGAATCAATTTTGCAGGATCAAGCATTGCATATTTTGAAGCCACGGTGTGATGGTGGTGAAGCCATTCCCAACGATGGAAACGTGTTTTGGGATGTAATCGTGAAAGGGTGTAATGTATCTGCCCATAAGTGAATTCTTATGGAACGTATGTTCCTGGCGGTAGAGCTACAAACGCGGATTTGATTCATCAACAAATGTGACAGATTTGCATATGTGATGGGGGGAGAATTGCGTCGTGATTTTTCCTCTGCAGCGATGGCTGCTCCGCCTCTTGCGCTCTTGTCGACGTGCGCATCTTCAGCTGCCCCTCGTCCTCGCCTTAGTCATCCCCCGACATGCGACTATCCGCACCGAGTCGCCTGCATCGTTCGTGGATCCAATCAGCGACCGCGCTTCACGCACTTGATTGAGAGAAGCGCGCACCACCACCAGATCGCTGCTTGGAAGCGTGTCTCCTCCACTCGCGCTCCCGCGTTTCCCCGTGATCGCGCTTATCGCGTTCCTCCCGCCCATTCATTCGCCTCATTTTTCGTCTTACGGAGGTCGGAAAGGCGAGCGGGAGCAGTTTCCCCCACTTTCTCCGCCTCAGCCTCGGGATTGCGGTCTTTCCCCGGAGCAGTTTCCGCCTCGTCCTTGCCCGCTGCGATTTCTCCTTTCGCTTCCCCCTCCACCTCGGGATCGCCGCGTCCTTTCCCCGCGTCGCCCCCATCTGCCTCGAGAGTGTCAAAATGCGCCTCATTACCGCCCACCGCCACTTCCGCTTCCGCTTCCGCTTCCACCTCCCCCGCCGCCTCGGGATTGCTTTGGGAGCGCGCCTCTCCCGGCAGCGGCGCGTCGCCCGGCGGCGACGCGGCAGCGGTCGAGCCGCAGCGCGCCTCAGCAGACTGCGCCGCCTCTCGTGGCGGCGACGCGGCGCCTGGCGGCGAGCGGCATCTCTTCTGCTTCGGGCTGGGATACGTGGCAGTGGCGCTGTCGAGTGTGCTTCTAACGAAAGGCTGGTATGTTGTGCTGTGCTGCCAACGACAGGCTGTAGGGCCTGAGGCGAGATGAGTGGAGCCAAGCTAAGGCAACCAGCAAGGTGACTTTTGAGTCAACTCAAAAGCCAAGGCAACCATCATCATTTTACTCGTTCCTTTGAAGCAATACAATCGTCTCCGCCACGCCTCAAAGCACAACATCTCTCTGAAATGTGCCCCCACCCCTCTTCCCCCTCCCCCCTCCCGCCTCTCGCGCTCTCTCTGTCTGCCTGCCCCCACCCACCCATGCCAGGCGTGTGTCAGGCACGTGCAGGAGCCAGGAGGACTGGCACCGATTGTGTCACATGGGCGTACAAGCACACCTGCTGGAGGACCATGGCACTGCCAGGTCAGCATCCCGTCTTTCCCTCCTTTAGACCTCCTTGGCATCCCTCTGCCCTACTTGTTATTTACCCCGCCTGCTCGCATTTCTCGCCCGGTTCCCCTAGTTCTCACTCTCTCCCTCCCACCGTCCCCGGCTATCTTTCACTCTCTCCTCCCCTCCAGTCCAGCCCCTTGTGTCTCCCACAAGCCTCTCTCTCCGCCCTTCGTTTTGCCACTCTCGGACTCGTCTCCATTTCATACTCTCGTTCATGTCAACTCCACCCCCCCTTCTCATCCCCACCCCTCCCAACCAGCACCTTGTGTCTTCCCCAGGCCTCTCTCTCCGCCCTCCACTCTGCCACACACGTACTCGTCTCCATACCCCCTCTCCTATCTCCTCGCCCCACATCCCCACAACACGTCGACATGGTGAGTCTAGCTCGTTTAGTCAACCACATATGTCCAACCATATCAAGTTTTTGAGACATGGCTTCCTTTCTAGTAGTTCACCTTATCTACTCCTTCTTTCTTCCATCTGTTGCTGCCACTGCAGTCACTCTCGTCTACTGCTGTGACTGCAGCTAATCTGGTTACTTTTTTTTCAGCTCAGTCAACTTTCTTGTCCGATTTTTCCGTCATGTGTTTCTTCAGGTGCTTTCCTCCTGTTGCGAGCACCTGATGCAATCTGCCAGGCATCGGCTCAGATGGATCGGATACCTGTCCTCCACAGGCGTCTATGGTGACTGGGACGGCCAATGGGTGGATGAGGAGTGAGTGAGTGAGTGAGATATCAAAAGCAACATTTGAGTGCACGAGTCAGTGAGTGAGAAAAGCGATGACAGTTTTTTTACCATCTGACCTTCACAACCCTCTCATCAAGGTAAGGGGGGATTCTTTTTCCCTCAACTCCTCCTCACCTCCCTTCTCTTCCCTGCTCCATTCCCCCGTTACAATCACGGCCACACATGCACTGCATGCCAGTTTCTCCCAATAATCCCGTCCCTCCCCCGCGCACAAATGCCCTCTATGCCCGTTCCTCCACATGCATACACATCAGCTCTCCCCCGCGTCCGCTCGCCCCGAAGGCCGTAGCGCGCTATGCTGCCGAGAGGGAGTGGCTTGCCTTCCAGGCGCTACTGGGGGAGTCGTTATCTGATGCACCAATGCAGAACGAAGCACCGACTGATGCACTCATGTGGAGCGAGGAGAGCTGGTGTCATCCAGAACCAAGCAAGTGCGATGACTCTGCTGTTGCTGTTGTTCGAGTTTTCCGGCTTGGGGGAATCTATGGGCCTTTTCGCAGGTACCACTGGCTTATCCTGGTTGCTAAGTCTTTTGCGCTACGTCTGCCCCATTTCTCGCCTATCTTCTTGTTTCAATTCAACCATGCTCACTCTTTACCCGACCGCTCTGCTCACCAGTTCCTCCTTTCCTCCTTGCTGCTCCTTTCCACAGTGCGCTGAACACAGCAGCAGCTGAGATGGGATCAGGGAATATGCCGTCACCTAACTGGACTGCAGCGTCCAATTCCACGAGCAGCAGGCGAGGGGAGAGCAGCTATGAAGAGGACAGCAGCGTCATCAGCATTCAAGTGCCCTGTAGCAATGGGGATAGCCGCAGCACTCAGAGCAGCAGTAACAGCAGCAGCAATGGGGGTGAGAGCAGCAGCAATGGGAATGTGAGCAGCACCAATCGAGAGCGCCGGCAGGGGAAGCGGTTCACGTCGCGGTGCCACGTGGCAGACATCTGCGCTGCGATTGGTGCCAGCATGGAAGGCCGTGGTAGCAGGTGAGAGGGAATTGCAGGTGATGCCCTTCTGTGGGCTGTCTAAGAGAAGTAGCTGTTGGAAATGAGGTCCCACCCCTCAATGAAACCCCTTCTCTTCAGCTGTGTAGGCGGGGTGGCCGTTTCAGCTGGGCGGCCACGTGGTAGAAAGTGTAGTTTTGAGACGTCTCATGTAGAAAGTGCAGTTTTGAGACGTCTCAAAACCACCCCTCAATGAAACCCCTTCTCTTCAGCTGTGTAGGCCGGGTGGCCGTGTGAGCTGGGCGGCCGTGTAGGCCATGCGGCCGTGTAGGCCGGGAGGGCGAGTAGTCTGGTCTGGGCGGTTGCGCAAGCTGCGGTTTGCAGCTACTCCACGATGAATCTTGATCCGTAGTCTGGTCTGGGCGGTTGTGCAAGCTGCGGTTTGCAGCTACTCCGCGATGAATCTTTATCCGTAGTCTGGTCTGGGTGGTTGTGCAAGCTGCGGTTTGCAGCTACTCCGCGATGAATCTTGATCCGTAGTCTGGTCTGGGCGGTTGTGCAAGCTGCGAAATCACTCTTCTGTCCGTCCGTTCACCCACTCACTTCCCCCTTCCGCTTTCCTCCAGTGCAATTATCAGCATTGTCAATGACGACCTTTCCTCTCGCCCTCTGCCCTTCCCACCCTTCCCCTAGCCTCACCTCTCCTCACCCCTGCTCTCCCCCCCCCTCCGCTTCTCCCCCAGTCCAATCGTTAACATTGTAGATGACGACCCGTCCCCTCGCCGCCACGTCATGCAGTTCGCCCACCAGCTCATCGCCTCGGGAGAATCAGATCTCTATTGGCAGAAGCTGGAGGCTCTGCGGGCCACTCTGCCGCCCGGAATCATCCGGCGGGGCGGCAGCGGGGCGGTGAGAGGCGCTGAGCGGGAGAAAAGGACGACGCATCCCACCGGTACAGACCTAATTGTTACCAGGGAGACGGAGAGAGTGGAATCAGAAAGTTCAGGATCCGTGGTAAATGCCATGTTTGAGCAGGCTAACATATCATGTGGTAAGATTGTTGGTGGTGGGGTTCATAATGGAATCTCCAAAAACGTTCTTAGGCAGGAACTTGATGATCGCAAAACCGTTACTCAACTACACAGTCATGGAGTCAGCACGATCCTACTGGATGGGGAGAAAAGGGTGAGAAATCATCGAATGAAGAGAGAACTGCTAGGGGTTACGCAGTTCTCCTCCTTCATGGATGCTCTAAAAACTATGGCTTCTGGACATATGGATCCATTCAACTAGTTGGAACATCACTATAATATTGATCTAGCAGTATTAACTGGTTCTGCATTTCTGTTCAACACTGCATGTCTGTGATGAGAACGAACTTCCAAGTCAAAGTTGCACAATCGAAGCGTGTCATCCGCTGACGTCAACGCATGAGAGTCGACCGTTTCTTCGAACTGGATGTGGGGCACTTGCATTGCACGAATTGGGGGGTGCACTTGCATTAAAACGAGGGTCTAGATTTGACAAGCGGGGGTTCAGAAGTTTTTGTTTTGAACCAGGCTTGCCAGCGCGAAAGTGTTGGCTAACGAAAACCTGGATTTCGTGCGGACACTTTTCCTCCGCAGTAACAGTTCGCCAGGGTTTTGGGTTTCGGGTGGCAAATGTGCACCGTCGCTTTAACTGCAGAAAACGACAATCGGATCGCAGTTGCTTGCTTGGCGTTTCGAACAGCCATTCGATTCCATTGAAAATAAACTTCCCGAATCATGTCCAATCTGTCTTTATACGATCTCGCTTTGTTTCATCCAGGATCTGCGATAAGGTTCTCTCCTTGCCGCCTTCGCAGTTCGAACAGGCCACGGACTCGTGAGTCACGATCAACGAAATCATGGCTCGTACTGGACGACGCTGTGTGTGGGTGAGGAGGGGAAGGGGGAGAGATTTGAGGGAGAGGGGGGGAGGGGGAAGGGGGGAGGCAAGGGGTATTTGAATTTGAAGCCCCAGCTGACCGCTGCAGTGTGCAACCTCGTTATGAGATGTTTTGAAGGAAAGTATTTCAACGTATAATAATCAGCATCTGTTTCAACTGCTGCACTTGGCTTCATCAACCCAAAGCTAAGAAAAGGGGTGCTTATATATATTACTGACCCATGTCATTGCTATCCTTCTCTGTACTGCTAGATTGAAGCCTATCAAGCCGTGCTTGCAGGCTATGTATATAACTAACAGATTTTTCAATCATGGACCCAAGGTCCTGCCTATCCCCCAGAATCTCCTGAGGAATGGCAGTCTTCAGCCTCCTCAAACAATCACTTATTTTCTCTCTCCGCCTCCTCTCTTTCACTGAACGCGGCCTAATGGCCTTCAAAGCCGTGTTCCCACCGCTCGCACCACCAACCCCGCCACCACTACCAGTCCCTCCACCTCTCCTGCTCCCACCAGCCCCTCCCCCGCCGCCTGCACGCGCTGACGCCGCCCTCTCTGCACTAGACTCCGAGACGCCAAGCGCGTCCAAGCTAACAGGACCGCTCATGCATTGCGCGACATCCTGGAAATCAGACGGAAAGTCCGAGAACCTCTGTAGCGAAGCAGCAGGTCCGCTGTGTGCAGTCAGGGCATTGTTACCAGCTCCACTGGCGAGCTGCTGTCTTGAGCAAGAGAGCCTCTGATTGGGCTCAGCTGCCAAGGCAGAGGGCTTATCCCCAAGTGCAGCCGAAGTATTTCCAAAGATGGGCGCCAGGGGAAAGGTGATGCCCCGAGTGGAACCAATGGCTCCTCCAGAAGCGAACATCTGAGAGTGATGCGAATGCTGAGAGTGCTGTGGTTGCTGAGAAGGCTGCGATTGCTGCATGTGCTGCAGCTGCTGCTGCGAATGGCCAATCATACTGCCTGCAGCCGCCGCGTTGCTCCGCTGCTGCTGCATCTCCGCCATGAGCGCCGCCGCCAGCACAATGCGCTCCTCGGGCGCAAGCTCCGGCGGAATATGCTGAAACAGCGCTTCGAGCTCATCCGCTGGAGTAAGAGGCAGCGCAGCCGCTGGCCCGGGTGTAGCAGGCTCGCTTGAACGCGGCGGCTGCTGCTGCGGCTGGTTCTGAAGCCAATTCGCGCCGATTTGAACTCCGGCGGAAGCCTGAGGGGTCGCGGCGGAAGGCCACTGCGGCGGCGCTCCGCAGACGTTCCCAGCTGCGAGTTGGCTTGCTGCGCGCGAGAATTGCGCCGTGAATTGCGGTGGAGCCGCAGGACGGATCGTCAGCGCGTCGTTGCGCGCAGCAGCCGGGTCGTTAGCGATTATTCCCAATGTCGCAGAGAGCGCTGCCGGTTCTGTCGCCGCCGAACGCGCAGCATTCGTATCAATCAAATTGGCTCCATCCAGACCTCCCAACGTGCTGTTTGGCAAACCCGCCATCCGCGATAGCGCACTAAACTCCTCCAGGTCTCGACCGTGAAAAGCGGCCGCGGATGATGCGGCGTTGGTCGCGTCGTGCGGCATTTCAGCAGCAAGCTGTTGTTGCACTAGCGCCGCGTATAGGTCCGCCTCTTCACCACCAGCGGAACCGGCCGTCATCTGCTGCTGCAGAAGAAACTGCTTGGCGTCGAGCGACTGTAGCTCCGCCGCAATCTCGTCAATTGATGGTGGCTGTCCGTCAGCGGCGGCGGCGGCACCGCCGGCGAGTCGTGGGATCCATTCAGCCAGGTTGTCAAGATCCGTTTGCGAGATTTCGTTCCCTGCGCCGGCCATGAATGCCGTCACGTCGGGATGAATTGCAGAGGAACCGAAGAACGTCGAATCGCAGGCGAAGTGAGAGCTCCCTGATCTGATTAGCTTAGGCTGCTCTTCCAAAAGGGGCGCTACGTCAAGTCCCGGGATGCTACTATCGCCTGGAGAGTCCAAGCTTGAAAGATAGCCACCGAGTAAGCCGGGAGAGTCAATCTCCGTGTTTAGCGCCGGGAATTTCGGCGTCGGGATAGTCGAGCGTGTTTTCCAGGAGTCGACACCTGCCATCGGTTGTTCCGTAAAACAATTAGCTCTAGCTTGTGAAATGCAAATGACGTTTCGTCATCTGCAACTGCGAAGACTTCAAAACTATTGCATGGATGGTTTCGGTCGGAACTGACTGGAACCGCCACCGAGAAAAGGAAAGTTTGTATTTTTAGAAGCAGACGATGTCCTCAGTCGGGCGAATCAGAAAGCAATCACTATGATTGAGATGCGGAGTGTTGCTGCGGCGTGCCAGTGGTTTATGGAAGGAAGGAGCAGGAGAAGGCGGGGCTGGCTGGAGGGGGGTGAAATCGGAACTGAACTTCCAAATTGCGAAATGCCTTCGTACCAAATCAAGCACTGCAGCGCTGTATACACAAGCTTCCCGCACTGGGCCACGAGGAGGTGTTGTTGAACACATTTCACACTCTGGCGGAACCATCTCCGGAACTCTCAGTACCGTTTTGCCTTCTCTCCTCCCCTTCCTGCCCCACGTGCTCCGAACCAGGGCTGTCGAAGTAAGGGATTTTTACCTTAATGCCCTGAACATTCCGGGCTACATCGGAGCAGCTCGACCGTTTAAAGTGCTGGCCTCGCATGGCACCCGTGACAGTTAAGGGCCTCGGTTGGCCCCTTCCCTGAATCCAAGATTTGGTTTCCGTTTCGAAGGACCCCTGCTCCCCAATTCGTGCCCCTTCCTCCCCTCTCCTCTTCCCCACCCGCCCCCCCCCCCCTAATCCTATCCCCTCCCCCCCCTACCCCGTTGTTTCTGCCTAAGATGAATCTGCTGTAGGCGTGTAGATGAGCAGTGAGTAGCTCCTCCCTTCTACGTAGTAAAATTGAACATCCTGCTTTGTTACAGTAGTGCCAAAGTACACTTTCTAAAGTAGCCCGGATTTCGAGTTTTAGACTCGGCTTGCGCCCGTGAAAATCAGGGCCACATTTCGAGCAACTCAGGACTCAAAGTTTTGGTCCCACAGACTTCGACAGGCCTGCTCCGAACCTCCAAGCCGCTGGTGGTCTATCTGTTCTCCCCTCCGCCTCATCCCTCCTCCACTTCCCCCCAATCCTAATTTCAACACCCAACCAGACTTCGCGAAATTTTGTAACGAACGAACCTCGACACGTGTGTTCGGCATGCTGGTTGAAGAACGTCTTCGTTCATTAAATCGTGGAAATAAAGGACGACGAATTGTATATATTTGTATATTGTACAAATGCATAGATGGAATTTAGACGGGATCTATGAAGCAGTGAGGGGCCAAGGCTAGATGGCGCAATGGAAGCTGTTTTATGTGGCTAAATCTGACTCTGACAGTCTTTTTTCCAGCGTCGGACAATGCGACAAAATGGATGACGCTCTTCCACAAACTGGCAAATGTATGGAATTTACGATGCCCGTCAGCGAAGCAACAGCATACAGCCTGGCATTCGGCGTCGCTTGTTAAGAAAAGACAGCATCCGATTCGATCAAAACCATGCCAACCAAGAAGCCTTGAGCCTCCGACTTCCCTCCTCGTCACGTGATCAGCAAGAGAGAAACAAACAACCCCTGACAGCACTTTGCAAGACCCCCTCAAGAAACAGCCAGCATACAACTGGCAAGAGGATGTCAAACGCAAACCGTATCGTCGCCGCAGCAAATCAAGGGACGAGTTGTTTTGCGATCTGCGATTTTTTTGCGTCGGGAACCAGCTGACGGTCCCAGGCACTGTAGAGCGCAAAACTTTTCCACACTGTTTCACGATGACACTAATTTGAACATGCTGGACGTTACCAAAATCATGTCTTGAATGGGCGGAGTCAGAGCAAAATTGTCGAAGGCTCCAGCATTGGTGCTTGTGTTGTTCAATCGCCAAATCGTGCTCTACGGCCCCACCCCGGTCCAAACGATGCACTGTGCATGCAGGACGAGAAGGTCGCGGAGGAATCCTAACCTGCCTTGTAAGTGGACAAAACTCAACGAAAGTCGGTTGCTATGGACAAGTACAATGACGTCATGGTGATGTTGTCGTTGAGCTAGGTTGCGCTACCTGGTGGTGGTGACCCTGGTCTGGTGGGGTTGATCCCACCAAAACCATTTATGCATACACATGTTTAGATTTCTAAACATTACACCGAACATCACCGTTCACGGACCACGTTTTATGCCACTATAATACTCTTTTCGAGCTGCTGAATCATCAGGCACGTAATTCGAGGTCTGACCTGATTTGATGAGGGTACTTTAATTGGCAAGGAAAAAGTGGACTTCTAACTCGATAATGCTGTTTAGTATTAGCCTTCGGAGTACAATTTTGGACAGCGAAGCGGGATGGAATGGGCGTGCATGATTTGGAATGCAGGCAGTGCAATGAGTCAACGGGCAAGGTAAAGAAAATAAAACCCACTTGGAAGGCATGCCATTCGGGAGGCATCAACCCTAATATTTTAGGGTTGAGGCTCCCGAATGGCATGGAGTCCGAGTGGGTTTTAGTTTGTTTCTGCCCGCGGTGAGAATGCTGACTCACTCGGTAGCGTCGTCTAGCAAAATGGTAGTGCTACCGAGCGCTACCGATGCTACCAAGTGCAATATATTAGAACGAGACTGCCACACATGCGTGATTAGTGGAAATTGTCACTTCCGTGATTACAGGCCCATAGCAAGTGACACACCAGCTTCGTGTAAACAAACTCTCCGTCTCTCTACACCCGGGAAATGTAAGCTTTCTAGGTGTATTTCTTAAATAGTTAGAAAAACTAACAAGCCACATCAATGCTTGCACATTAGTGCTGTTGCTGCGCACACACGGACATGCTTTGCGATTTGAGATGTGTGTGGGCTCAAGATCCGGCCTGGCAATCCAACACTCATACGCTTCGTCCTCACAAGTCCTACTGACACAGAGCATCAGACGAAGGCTCGTTCTCCTCGTGTTTATGGGCAAGGCCGTACAAAGACATGGGTGCACGTGGTTATACACTCGGCTGCATGGCATGCGCATGTATATAGCATTAATACACGAGCGTCCACTGGACTGTAGTCATTTAATGGATTTACGAGTCACGCGACTCAGGACAGGAGTTGTTTAATGGAGTGCACTGCTTGGACTGTACATGGTTCATTTGAAGAGCATGTAGTAGGTACACATAGAAATCTCCAGTCCTCCTGTGTTACGGAAGATCAAAGAAGCGGTGCTGCAGAGCGGAGTCTGCAGAAGGCCGCTGGCGGTAGTCTGGGTTCAGCATGGCCTGCATGGGGGTGGGGGCAAAGAGTGAGATGCCGAGGCAGGGAGACGTAGGGGGAGATTGTGAGATGTAAGGAGATGCAGGGAAATAAAAGAAGCGAGTCTGCAGAAGGCCGGTGGCGATAGTCCGGGCTCAGCATGGCCTGCATGGGGAGGGAAGAGAGTGAGACGCAGGGGCAGGGAGATGCAGGAAAATAAAAGAAGCACGGCCCATGTTTCCCACACCCCATGCACCCACCACACCCCATGCCCGCACACCCCATGCACCCACCACACCCCATGCCCCCCCCCACACCCCATGTTTCCCACACCCCATGCTGCAGCTGGCGGGGCAGCGCTGGATGATTACTCGGGTGAGTGAACTTTTGAGTCGACTCTAAAATGGGATCATGGCGGTATCGCTGGCAGGGCCGTCGTATTACCCCTCTGCTGCGTATGCGACTGTGAATGGAGAGACAGCGGCGGGGGACGTGGTGGTTGCTGCAGCTGGCGGGGCAGCGCTGGATGATTACTCGGGTGAGTGAACTTTTGAGTCGACTCTAAAATGGGATCATGGCGGTATCGCTGGCAGGGCCGTCGTATTACCCCTCTGCTGCGTATGCGACTGTGAATGGAGAGACAGCGGCGGGGGACGTGGTGGTTGCTGCAGCTGGCGGGGCAGCGCTGGATGATTACTCGGGTGAGTGAACTTTTGAGTCGACTCTAAAATGGGATCATGGCGGTATCGCTGGCAGGGCCGTCGTATTACCCCTCTGCTGCGTATGCGACTGTGAATGGAGAGACAGCGGCGGGGGACGTGGTGGTTGCTGCAGCTGGCGGGGCAGCGCTGGATGATTACTCGGGTGAGTGAACTTTTGAGTCGACTCTAAAATGGGATCATGGCGGTATCGCTGGCAGGGCCGTCGTATTACCCCTCTGCTGCGTATGCGACTGTGAATGGAGAGACAGCGGCGGGGGACGTGGTGGTTGCTGCAGCTGGCGGGGCAGCGCTGGATGATTACTCGGGTGAGTGAACTTTTGAGTCGACTCTAAAATGGGATCATGGCGGTATCGCTGGCAGGGCCGTCGTATTACCCCTCTGCTGCGTATGCGACTGTGAATGGAGAGACAGCGGCGGGGGACGTGGTGGTTGCTGCAGCTGGCGGGGCAGCGCTGGATGATTACTCGGGTGAGTGAACTTTTGAGTCGACTCTAAAATGGGATCATGGCGGTATCGCTGGCAGGGCCGTCGTATTACCCCTCTGCTGCGTATGCGACTGTGAATGGAGAGACAGCGGCGGGGGACGTGGTGGTTGCTGCAGCTGGCGGGGCAGCGCTGGATGATTACTCGGGTGAGTGAACTTTTGAGTCGACTCTAAAATGGGATCATGGCGGTATCGCTGGCAGGGCCGTCGTATTACCCCTCTGCTGCGTATGCGACTGTGAATGGAGAGACAGCGGCGGGGGACGTGGTGGTTGCTGCAGCTGGCGGGGCAGCGCTGGATGATTACTCGGGTGAGTGAACTTTTGAGTCGACTCTAAAATGGGATCATGGCGGTATCGCTGGCAGGGCCGTCGTATTACCCCTCTGCTGCGTATGCGACTGTGAATGGAGAGACAGCGGCGGGGGACGTGGTGGTTGCTGCAGCTGGCGGGGCAGCGCTGGATGATTACTCGGGTGAGTGAACTTTTGAGTCGACTCTAAAATGGGATCATGGCGGTATCGCTGGCAGGGCCGTCGTATTACCCCTCTGCTGCGTATGCGACTGTGAATGGAGAGACAGCGGCGGGGGACGTGGTGGTTGCTGCAGCTGGCGGGGCAGCGCTGGATGATTACTCGGGTGAGTGAACTTTTGAGTCGACTCTAAAATGGGATCATGGCGGTATCGCTGGCAGGGCCGTCGTATTACCCCTCTGCTGCGTATGCGACTGTGAATGGAGAGACAGCGGCGGGGGACGTGGTGGTTGCTGCAGCTGGCGGGGCAGCGCTGGATGATTACTCGGGTGAGTGAACTTTTGAGTCGACTCTAAAATGGGATCATGGCGGTATCGCTGGCAGGGCCGTCGTATTACCCCTCTGCTGCGTATGCGACTGTGAATGGAGAGACAGCGGCGGGGGACGTGGTGGTTGCTGCAGCTGGCGGGGCAGCGCTGGATGATTACTCGGGTGAGTGAACTTTTGAGTCGACTCTAAAATGGGATCATGGCGGTATCGCTGGCAGGGCCGTCGTATTACCCCTCTGCTGCGTATGCGACTGTGAATGGAGAGACAGCGGCGGGGGACGTGGTGGTTGCTGCAGCTGGCGGGGCAGCGCTGGATGATTACTCGGGTGAGTGAACTTTTGAGTCGACTCTAAAATGGGATCATGGCGGTATCGCTGGCAGGGCCGTCGTATTACCCCTCTGCTGCGTATGCGACTGTGAATGGAGAGACAGCGGCGGGGGACGTGGTGGTTGCTGCAGCTGGCGGGGCAGCGCTGGATGATTACTCGGGTGAGTGAACTTTTGAGTCGACTCTAAAATGGGATCATGGCGGTATCGCTGGCAGGGCCGTCGTATTACCCCTCTGCTGCGTATGCGACTGTGAATGGAGAGACAGCGGCGGGGGACGTGGTGGTTGCTGCAGCTGGCGGGGCAGCGCTGGATGATTACTCGGGTGAGTGAACTTTTGAGTCGACTCTAAAATGGGATCATGGCGGTATCGCTGGCAGGGCCGTCGTATTACCCCTCTGCTGCGTATGCGACTGTGAATGGAGAGACAGCGGCGGGGGACGTGGTGGTTGCTGCAGCTGGCGGGGCAGCGCTGGATGATTACTCGGGTGAGTGAACTTTTGAGTCGACTCTAAAATGGGATCATGGCGGTATCGCTGGCAGGGCCGTCGTATTACCCCTCTGCTGCGTATGCGACTGTGAATGGAGAGACAGCGGCGGGGGACGTGGTGGTTGCTGCAGCTGGCGGGGCAGCGCTGGATGATTACTCGGGTGAGTGGACTTTTGAGTCGACTCTAAAATGGGATCATGGCGGTATCGTTGGCAGGGCCGTCGTATTACCCCTCTGCTGCGTATGCGACTGTGAATGGAGAGACAGCGGCGGGGGACGTGGTGGTTGCTGCAGCTGGCGGGGCAGCGCTGGATGATTACTCGGGTGAGTGGACTTTTGAGTCGACTCTAAAATGGGATCATGGCGGTATCGCTGGCAGGGCCGTCGTATTACCCCTCTGCTGCGTATGCGACTGTGAATGGAGAGACAGCGGCGGGGGACGTGGTGGTTGCTGCAGCTGGCGGGGCAGCGCTGGATGATTACTCGGGTGAGTGGACTTTTGAGTCGACTCTAAAATGGGATCATGGCGGTATCGCTGGCAGGGCCGTCGTATTACCCCTCTGCTGCGTATGCGACTGTGAATGGAGAGACAGCGGCGGGGGACGTGGTGGTTGCTGCAGCTGGCGGGGCAGCGCTGGATGATTACTCGGGTGAGTGAACTTTTGAGTCGACTCTAAAATGGGATCATGGCGGTATCGCTGGCAGGGCCGTCGTATTACCCCTCTGCTGCGTATGCGACTGTGAATGGAGAGACAGCGGCGGGGGACGTGGTGGTTGCTGCAGCTGGCGGGGCAGCGCTGGATGATTACTCGGGTGAGTGAACTTTTGAGTCGACTCTAAAATGGGATCATGGCGGTATCGCTGGCAGGGCCGTCGTATTACCCCTCTGCTGCGTATGCGACTGTGAATGGAGAGACAGCGGCGGGGGACGTGGTGGTTGCTGCAGCTGGCGGGGCAGCGCTGGATGATTACTCGGGTGAGTGAACTTTTGAGTCGACTCTAAAATGGGATCATGGCGGTATCGCTGGCAGGGCCGTCGTATTACCCCTCTGCTGCGTATGCGACTGTGAATGGAGAGACAGCGGCGGGGGACGTGGTGGTTGCTGCAGCTGGCGGGGCAGCGCTGGATGATTACTCGGGTGAGTGAACTTTTGAGTCGACTCTAAAATGGGATCATGGCGGTATCGCTGGCAGGGCCGTCGTATTACCCCTCTGCTGCGTATGCGACTGTGAATGGAGAGACAGCGGCGGGGGACGTGGTGGTTGCTGCAGCTGGCGGGGCAGCGCTGGATGATTACTCGGGTGAGTGAACTTTTGAGTCGACTCTAAAATGGGATCATGGCGGTATCGCTGGCAGGGCCGTCGTATTACCCCTCTGCTGCGTATGCGACTGTGAATGGAGAGACAGCGGCGGGGGACGTGGTGGTTGCTGCAGCTGGCGGGGCAGCGCTGGATGATTACTCGGGTGAGTGAACTTTTGAGTCGACTCTAAAATGGGATCATGGCGGTATCGCTGGCAGGGCCGTCGTATTACCCCTCTGCTGCGTATGCGACTGTGAATGGAGAGACAGCGGCGGGGGACGTGGTGGTTGCTGCAGCTGGCGGGGCAGCGCTGGATGATTACTCGGGTGAGTGAACTTTTGAGTCGACTCTAAAATGGGATCATGGCGGTATCGCTGGCAGGGCCGTCGTATTACCCCTCTGCTGCGTATGCGACTGTGAATGGAGAGACAGCGGCGGGGGACGTGGTGGTTGCTGCAGCTGGCGGGGCAGCGCTGGATGATTACTCGGGTGAGTGAACTTTTGAGTCGACTCTAAAATGGGATCATGGCGGTATCGCTGGCAGGGCCGTCGTATTACCCCTCTGCTGCGTATGCGACTGTGAATGGAGAGACAGCGGCGGGGGACGTGGTGGTTGCTGCAGCTGGCGGGGCAGCGCTGGATGATTACTCGGGTGAGTGAACTTTTGAGTCGACTCTAAAATGGGATCATGGCGGTATCGCTGGCAGGGCCGTCGTATTACCCCTCTGCTGCGTATGCGACTGTGAATGGAGAGACAGCGGCGGGGGACGTGGTGGTTGCTGCAGCTGGCGGGGCAGCGCTGGATGATTACTCGGGTGAGTGAACTTTTGAGTCGACTCTAAAATGGGATCATGGCGGTATCGCTGGCAGGGCCGTCGTATTACCCCTCTGCTGCGTATGCGACTGTGAATGGAGAGACAGCGGCGGGGGACGTGGTGGTTGCTGCAGCTGGCGGGGCAGCGCTGGATGATTACTCGGGTGAGTGAACTTTTGAGTCGACTCTAAAATGGGATCATGGCGGTATCGCTGGCAGGGCCGTCGTATTACCCCTCTGCTGCGTATGCGACTGTGAATGGAGAGACAGCGGCGGGGGACGTGGTGGTTGCTGCAGCTGGCGGGGCAGCGCTGGATGATTACTCGGGTGAGTGAACTTTTGAGTCGACTCTAAAATGAGATCATGGGCGGTATCGCTGGCAGGGCCGTCGTATTACCCCTCTGCTGCGTATGCGACTGTGAATGGAGAGACAGCGGCGGGGGACGTGGTGGTTGCTGCAGCTGGCGGGGCAGCGCTGGATGATTACTCGGGTGAGTGAACTTTTGAGTCGACTCTAAAATGGGATCATGGCGGTATCGCTGGCAGGGCCGTCGTATTACCCCTCTGCTGCGTATGCGACTGTGAATGGAGAGACAGCGGCGGGGGACGTGGTGGTTGCTGCAGCTGGCGGGGCAGCGCTGGATGATTACTCGGGTGAGTGAACTTTTGAGTCGACTCTAAAATGGGATCATGGCGGTATCGCTGGCAGGGCCGTCGTATTACCCCTCTGCTGCGTATGCGACTGTGAATGGAGAGACAGCGGCGGGGGACGTGGTGGTTGCTGCAGCTGGCGGGGCAGCGCTGGATGATTACTCGGGTGAGTGGACTTTTGAGTCGACTCTAAAATGGGATCATGGCGGTATCGCTGGCAGGGCCGTCGTATTACCCCTCTGCTGCGTATGCGACTGTGAATGGAGAGACAGCGGCGGGGGACGTGGTGGTTGCTGCAGCTGGCGGGGCAGCGCTGGATGATTACTCGGGTGAGTGGACTTTTGAGTCGACTCTAAAATGGGATCATGGCGGTATCGCTGGCAGGGCCGTCGTATTACCCCTCTGCTGCGTATGCGACTGTGAATGGAGAGACAGCGGCGGGGGACGTGGTGGTTGCTGCAGCTGGCGGGGCAGCGCTGGATGATTACTCGGGTGAGTGAACTTTTGAGTCGACTCTAAAATGGGATCATGGCGGTATCGCTGGCAGGGCCGTCGTATTACCCCTCTGCTGCGTATGCGACTGTGAATGGAGAGACAGCGGCGGGGGACGTGGTGGTTGCTGCAGCTGGCGGGGCAGCGCTGGATGATTACTCGGGTGAGTGAACTTTTGAGTCGACTCTAAAATGGGATCATGGCGGTATCGCTGGCAGGGCCGTCGTATTACCCCTCTGCTGCGTATGCGACTGTGAATGGAGAGACAGCGGCGGGGGACGTGGTGGTTGCTGCAGCTGGCGGGGCAGCGCTGGATGATTACTCGGGTGAGTGAACTTTTGAGTCGACTCTAAAATGGGATCATGGCGGTATCGCTGGCAGGGCCGTCGTATTACCCCTCTGCTGCGTATGCGACTGTGAATGGAGAGACAGCGGCGGGGGACGTGGTGGTTGCTGCAGCTGGCGGGGCAGCGCTGGATGATTACTCGGGTGAGTGAACTTTTGAGTCGACTCTAAAATGGGATCATGGCGGTATCGCTGGCAGGGCCGTCGTATTACCCCTCTGCTGCGTATGCGACTGTGAATGGAGAGACAGCGGCGGGGGACGTGGTGGTTGCTGCAGCTGGCGGGGCAGCGCTGGATGATTACTCGGGTGAGTGAACTTTTGAGTCGACTCTAAAATGGGATCATGGCGGTATCGCTGGCAGGGCCGTCGTATTACCCCTCTGCTGCGTATGCGACTGTGAATGGAGAGACAGCGGCGGGGGACGTGGTGGTTGCTGCAGCTGGCGGGGCAGCGCTGGATGATTACTCGGGTGAGTGAACTTTTGAGTCGACTCTAAAATGGGATCATGGCGGTATCGCTGGCAGGGCCGTCGTATTACCCCTCTGCTGCGTATGCGACTGTGAATGGAGAGACAGCGGCGGGGGACGTGGTGGTTGCTGCAGCTGGCGGGGCAGCGCTGGATGATTACTCGGGTGAGTGAACTTTTGAGTCGACTCTAAAATGGGATCATGGCGGTATCGCTGGCAGGGCCGTCGTATTACCCCTCTGCTGCGTATGCGACTGTGAATGGAGAGACAGCGGCGGGGGACGTGGTGGTTGCTGCAGCTGGCGGGGCAGCGCTGGATGATTACTCGGGTGAGTGAACTTTTGAGTCGACTCTAAAATGGGATCATGGCGGTATCGCTGGCAGGGCCGTCGTATTACCCCTCTGCTGCGTATGCGACTGTGAATGGAGAGACAGCGGCGGGGGACGTGGTGGTTGCTGCAGCTGGCGGGGCAGCGCTGGATGATTACTCGGGTGAGTGAACTTTTGAGTCGACTCTAAAATGGGATCATGGCGGTATCGCTGGCAGGGCCGTCGTATTACCCCTCTGCTGCGTATGCGACTGTGAATGGAGAGACAGCGGCGGGGGACGTGGTGGTTGCTGCAGCTGGCGGGGCAGCGCTGGATGATTACTCGGGTGAGTGAACTTTTGAGTCGACTCTAAAATGGGATCATGGCGGTATCGCTGGCAGGGCCGTCGTATTACCCCTCTGCTGCGTATGCGACTGTGAATGGAGAGACAGCGGCGGGGGACGTGGTGGTTGCTGCAGCTGGCGGGGCAGCGCTGGATGATTACTCGGGTGAGTGAACTTTTGAGTCGACTCTAAAATGGGATCATGGCGGTATCGCTGGCAGGGCCGTCGTATTACCCCTCTGCTGCGTATGCGACTGTGAATGGAGAGACAGCGGCGGGGGACGTGGTGGTTGCTGCAGCTGGCGGGGCAGCGCTGGATGATTACTCGGGTGAGTGAACTTTTGAGTCGACTCTAAAATGGGATCATGGCGGTATCGCTGGCAGGGCCGTCGTATTACCCCTCTGCTGCGTATGCGACTGTGAATGGAGAGACAGCGGCGGGGGACGTGGTGGTTGCTGCAGCTGGCGGGGCAGCGCTGGATGATTACTCGGGTGAGTGGACTTTTGAGTCGACTCTAAAATGGGATCATGGCGGTATCGCTGGCAGGGCCGTCGTATTACCCCTCTGCTGCGTATGCGACTGTGAATGGAGAGACAGCGGCGGGGGACGTGGTGGTTGCTGCAGCTGGCGGGGCAGCGCTGGATGATTACTCGGGTGAGTGAACTTTTGAGTCGACTCTAAAATGGGATCATGGCGGTATCGCTGGCAGGGCCGTCGTATTACCCCTCTGCTGCGTATGCGACTGTGAATGGAGAGACAGCGGCGGGGGACGTGGTGGTTGCTGCAGCTGGCGGGGCAGCGCTGGATGATTACTCGGGTGAGTGGACTTTTGAGTCGACTCTAAAATGGGATCATGGCGGTATCGCTGGCAGGGCCGTCGTATTACCCCTCTGCTGCGTATGCGACTGTGAATGGAGAGACAGCGGCGGGGGACGTGGTGGTTGCTGCAGCTGGCGGGGCAGCGCTGGATGATTACTCGGGTGAGTGAACTTTTGAGTCGACTCTAAAATGGGATCATGGCGGTATCGCTGGCAGGGCCGTCGTATTACCCCTCTGCTGCGTATGCGACTGTGAATGGAGAGACAGCGGCGGGGGACGTGGTGGTTGCTGCAGCTGGCGGGGCAGCGCTGGATGATTACTCGGGTGAGTGAACTTTTGAGTCGACTCTAAAATGGGATCATGGCGGTATCGCTGGCAGGGCCGTCGTATTACCCCTCTGCTGCGTATGCGACTGTGAATGGAGAGACAGCGGCGGGGGACGTGGTGGTTGCTGCAGCTGGCGGGGCAGCGCTGGATGATTACTCGGGTGAGTGAACTTTTGAGTCGACTCTAAAATGGGATCATGGCGGTATCGCTGGCAGGGCCGTCGTATTACCCCTCTGCTGCGTATGCGACTGTGAATGGAGAGACAGCGGCGGGGGACGTGGTGGTTGCTGCAGCTGGCGGGGCAGCGCTGGATGATTACTCGGGTGAGTGAACTTTTGAGTCGACTCTAAAATGGGATCATGGCGGTATCGCTGGCAGGGCCGTCGTATTACCCCTCTGCTGCGTATGCGACTGTGAATGGAGAGACAGCGGCGGGGGACGTGGTGGTTGCTGCAGCTGGCGGGGCAGCGCTGGATGATTACTCGGGTGAGTGAACTTTTGAGTCGACTCTAAAATGGGATCATGGCGGTATCGCTGGCAGGGCCGTCGTATTACCCCTCTGCTGCGTATGCGACTGTGAATGGAGAGACAGCGGCGGGGGACGTGGTGGTTGCTGCAGCTGGCGGGGCAGCGCTGGATGATTACTCGGGTGAGTGAACTTTTGAGTCGACTCTAAAATGGGATCATGGCGGTATCGCTGGCAGGGCCGTCGTATTACCCCTCTGCTGCGTATGCGACTGTGAATGGAGAGACAGCGGCGGGGGACGTGGTGGTTGCTGCAGCTGGCGGGGCAGCGCTGGATGATTACTCGGGTGAGTGAACTTTTGAGTCGACTCTAAAATGGGATCATGGCGGTATCGCTGGCAGGGCCGTCGTATTACCCCTCTGCTGCGTATGCGACTGTGAATGGAGAGACAGCGGCGGGGGACGTGGTGGTTGCTGCAGCTGGCGGGGCAGCGCTGGATGATTACTCGGGTGAGTGGACTTTTGAGTCGACTCTAAAATGGGATCATGGCGGTATCGCTGGCAGGGCCGTCGTATTACCCCTCTGCTGCGTATGCGACTGTGAATGGAGAGACAGCGGCGGGGGACGTGGTGGTTGCTGCAGCTGGCGGGGCAGCGCTGGATGATTACTCGGGTGAGTGGACTTTTGAGTCGACTCTAAAATGGGATCATGGCGGTATCGCTGGCAGGGCCGTCGTATTACCCCTCTGCTGCGTATGCGACTGTGAATGGAGAGACAGCGGCGGGGGACGTGGTGGTTGCTGCAGCTGGCGGGGCAGCGCTGGATGATTACTCGGGTGAGTGAACTTTTGAGTCGACTCTAAAATGGGATCATGGCGGTATCGCTGGCAGGGCCGTCGTATTACCCCTCTGCTGCGTATGCGACTGTGAATGGAGAGACAGCGGCGGGGGACGTGGTGGTTGCTGCAGCTGGCGGGGCAGCGCTGGATGATTACTCGGGTGAGTGAACTTTTGAGTCGACTCTAAAATGGGATCATGGCGGTATCGCTGGCAGGGCCGTCGTATTACCCCTCTGCTGCGTATGCGACTGTGAATGGAGAGACAGCGGCGGGGGACGTGGTGGTTGCTGCAGCTGGCGGGGCAGCGCTGGATGATTACTCGGGTGAGTGAACTTTTGAGTCGACTCTAAAATGGGATCATGGCGGTATCGCTGGCAGGGCCGTCGTATTACCCCTCTGCTGCGTATGCGACTGTGAATGGAGAGACAGCGGCGGGGGACGTGGTGGTTGCTGCAGCTGGCGGGGCAGCGCTGGATGATTACTCGGGTGAGTGAACTTTTGAGTCGACTCTAAAATGGGATCATGGCGGTATCGCTGGCAGGGCCGTCGTATTACCCCTCTGCTGCGTATGCGACTGTGAATGGAGAGACAGCGGCGGGGGACGTGGTGGTTGCTGCAGCTGGCGGGGCAGCGCTGGATGATTACTCGGGTGAGTGAACTTTTGAGTCGACTCTAAAATGGGATCATGGCGGTATCGCTGGCAGGGCCGTCGTATTACCCCTCTGCTGCGTATGCGACTGTGAATGGAGAGACAGCGGCGGGGGACGTGGTGGTTGCTGCAGCTGGCGGGGCAGCGCTGGATGATTACTCGGGTGAGTGAACTTTTGAGTCGACTCTAAAATGGGATCATGGCGGTATCGCTGGCAGGGCCGTCGTATTACCCCTCTGCTGCGTATGCGACTGTGAATGGAGAGACAGCGGCGGGGGACGTGGTGGTTGCTGCAGCTGGCGGGGCAGCGCTGGATGATTACTCGGGTGAGTGGACTTTTGAGTCGACTCTAAAATGGGATCATGGCGGTATCGCTGGCAGGGCCGTCGTATTACCCCTCTGCTGCGTATGCGACTGTGAATGGAGAGACAGCGGCGGGGGACGTGGTGGTTGCTGCAGCTGGCGGGGCAGCGCTGGATGATTACTCGGGTGAGTGAACTTTTGAGTCGACTCTAAAATGGGATCATGGCGGTATCGCTGGCAGGGCCGTCGTATTACCCCTCTGCTGCGTATGCGACTGTGAATGGAGAGACAGCGGCGGGGGACGTGGTGGTTGCTGCAGCTGGCGGGGCAGCGCTGGATGATTACTCGGGTGAGTGAACTTTTGAGTCGACTCTAAAATGGGATCATGGCGGTATCGCTGGCAGGGCCGTCGTATTACCCCTCTGCTGCGTATGCGACTGTGAATGGAGAGACAGCGGCGGGGGACGTGGTGGTTGCTGCAGCTGGCGGGGCAGCGCTGGATGATTACTCGGGTGAGTGAACTTTTGAGTCGACTCTAAAATGGGATCATGGCGGTATCGCTGGCAGGGCCGTCGTATTACCCCTCTGCTGCGTATGCGACTGTGAATGGAGAGACAGCGGCGGGGGACGTGGTGGTTGCTGCAGCTGGCGGGGCAGCGCTGGATGATTACTCGGGTGAGTGAACTTTTGAGTCGACTCTAAAATGGGATCATGGCGGTATCGCTGGCAGGGCCGTCGTATTACCCCTCTGCTGCGTATGCGACTGTGAATGGAGAGACAGCGGCGGGGGACGTGGTGGTTGCTGCAGCTGGCGGGGCAGCGCTGGATGATTACTCGGGTGAGTGAACTTTTGAGTCGACTCTAAAATGGGATCATGGCGGTATCGCTGGCAGGGCCGTCGTATTACCCCTCTGCTGCGTATGCGACTGTGAATGGAGAGACAGCGGCGGGGGACGTGGTGGTTGCTGCAGCTGGCGGGGCAGCGCTGGATGATTACTCGGGTGAGTGAACTTTTGAGTCGACTCTAAAATGGGATCATGGCGGTATCGCTGGCAGGGCCGTCGTATTACCCCTCTGCTGCGTATGCGACTGTGAATGGAGAGACAGCGGCGGGGGACGTGGTGGTTGCTGCAGCTGGCGGGGCAGCGCTGGATGATTACTCGGGTGAGTGAACTTTTGAGTCGACTCTAAAATGGGATCATGGCGGTATCGCTGGCAGGGCCGTCGTATTACCCCTCTGCTGCGTATGCGACTGTGAATGGAGAGACAGCGGCGGGGGACGTGGTGGTTGCTGCAGCTGGCGGGGCAGCGCTGGATGATTACTCGGGTGAGTGAACTTTTGAGTCGACTCTAAAATGGGATCATGGCGGTATCGCTGGCAGGGCCGTCGTATTACCCCTCTGCTGCGTATGCGACTGTGAATGGAGAGACAGCGGCGGGGGACGTGGTGGTTGCTGCAGCTGGCGGGGCAGCGCTGGATGATTACTCGGGTGAGTGAACTTTTGAGTCGACTCTAAAATGGGATCATGGCGGTATCGCTGGCAGGGCCGTCGTATTACCCCTCTGCTGCGTATGCGACTGTGAATGGAGAGACAGCGGCGGGGGACGTGGTGGTTGCTGCAGCTGGCGGGGCAGCGCTGGATGATTACTCGGGTGAGTGAACTTTTGAGTCGACTCTAAAATGGGATCATGGCGGTATCGCTGGCAGGGCCGTCGTATTACCCCTCTGCTGCGTATGCGACTGTGAATGGAGAGACAGCGGCGGGGGACGTGGTGGTTGCTGCAGCTGGCGGGGCAGCGCTGGATGATTACTCGGGTGAGTGAACTTTTGAGTCGACTCTAAAATGGGATCATGGCGGTATCGCTGGCAGGGCCGTCGTATTACCCCTCTGCTGCGTATGCGACTGTGAATGGAGAGACAGCGGCGGGGGACGTGGTGGTTGCTGCAGCTGGCGGGGCAGCGCTGGATGATTACTCGGGTGAGTGAACTTTTGAGTCGACTCTAAAATGGGATCATGGCGGTATCGCTGGCAGGGCCGTCGTATTACCCCTCTGCTGCGTATGCGACTGTGAATGGAGAGACAGCGGCGGGGGACGTGGTGGTTGCTGCAGCTGGCGGGGCAGCGCTGGATGATTACTCGGGTGAGTGAACTTTTGAGTCGACTCTAAAATGGGATCATGGCGGTATCGCTGGCAGGGCCGTCGTATTACCCCTCTGCTGCGTATGCGACTGTGAATGGAGAGACAGCGGCGGGGGACGTGGTGGTTGCTGCAGCTGGCGGGGCAGCGCTGGATGATTACTCGGGTGAGTGAACTTTTGAGTCGACTCTAAAATGGGATCATGGCGGTATCGCTGGCAGGGCCGTCGTATTACCCCTCTGCTGCGTATGCGACTGTGAATGGAGAGACAGCGGCGGGGGACGTGGTGGTTGCTGCAGCTGGCGGGGCAGCGCTGGATGATTACTCGGGTGAGTGAACTTTTGAGTCGACTCTAAAATGGGATCATGGCGGTATCGCTGGCAGGGCCGTCGTATTACCCCTCTGCTGCGTATGCGACTGTGAATGGAGAGACAGCGGCGGGGGACGTGGTGGTTGCTGCAGCTGGCGGGGCAGCGCTGGATGATTACTCGGGTGAGTGAACTTTTGAGTCGACTCTAAAATGGGATCATGGCGGTATCGCTGGCAGGGCCGTCGTATTACCCCTCTGCTGCGTATGCGACTGTGAATGGAGAGACAGCGGCGGGGGACGTGGTGGTTGCTGCAGCTGGCGGGGCAGCGCTGGATGATTACTCGGGTGAGTGAACTTTTGAGTCGACTCTAAAATGGGATCATGGCGGTATCGCTGGCAGGGCCGTCGTATTACCCCTCTGCTGCGTATGCGACTGTGAATGGAGAGACAGCGGCGGGGGACGTGGTGGTTGCTGCAGCTGGCGGGGCAGCGCTGGATGATTACTCGGGTGAGTGAACTTTTGAGTCGACTCTAAAATGGGATCATGGCGGTATCGCTGGCAGGGCCGTCGTATTACCCCTCTGCTGCGTATGCGACTGTGAATGGAGAGACAGCGGCGGGGGACGTGGTGGTTGCTGCAGCTGGCGGGGCAGCGCTGGATGATTACTCGGGTGAGTGAACTTTTGAGTCGACTCTAAAATGGGATCATGGCGGTATCGCTGGCAGGGCCGTCGTATTACCCCTCTGCTGCGTATGCGACTGTGAATGGAGAGACAGCGGCGGGGGACGTGGTGGTTGCTGCAGCTGGCGGGGCAGCGCTGGATGATTACTCGGGTGAGTGAACTTTTGAGTCGACTCTAAAATGGGATCATGGCGGTATCGCTGGCAGGGCCGTCGTATTACCCCTCTGCTGCGTATGCGACTGTGAATGGAGAGACAGCGGCGGGGGACGTGGTGGTTGCTGCAGCTGGCGGGGCAGCGCTGGATGATTACTCGGGTGAGTGAACTTTTGAGTCGACTCTAAAATGGGATCATGGCGGTATCGCTGGCAGGGCCGTCGTATTACCCCTCTGCTGCGTATGCGACTGTGAATGGAGAGACAGCGGCGGGGGACGTGGTGGTTGCTGCAGCTGGCGGGGCAGCGCTGGATGATTACTCGGGTGAGTGAACTTTTGAGTCGACTCTAAAATGGGATCATGGCGGTATCGCTGGCAGGGCCGTCGTATTACCCCTCTGCTGCGTATGCGACTGTGAATGGAGAGACAGCGGCGGGGGACGTGGTGGTTGCTGCAGCTGGCGGGGCAGCGCTGGATGATTACTCGGGTGAGTGAACTTTTGAGTCGACTCTAAAATGGGATCATGGCGGTATCGCTGGCAGGGCCGTCGTATTACCCCTCTGCTGCGTATGCGACTGTGAATGGAGAGACAGCGGCGGGGGACGTGGTGGTTGCTGCAGCTGGCGGGGCAGCGCTGGATGATTACTCGGGTGAGTGAACTTTTGAGTCGACTCTAAAATGGGATCATGGCGGTATCGCTGGCAGGGCCGTCGTATTACCCCTCTGCTGCGTATGCGACTGTGAATGGAGAGACAGCGGCGGGGGACGTGGTGGTTGCTGCAGCTGGCGGGGCAGCGCTGGATGATTACTCGGGTGAGTGAACTTTTGAGTCGACTCTAAAATGGGATCATGGCGGTATCGCTGGCAGGGCCGTCGTATTACCCCTCTGCTGCGTATGCGACTGTGAATGGAGAGACAGCGGCGGGGGACGTGGTGGTTGCTGCAGCTGGCGGGGCAGCGCTGGATGATTACTCGGGTGAGTGAACTTTTGAGTCGACTCTAAAATGGGATCATGGCGGTATCGCTGGCAGGGCCGTCGTATTACCCCTCTGCTGCGTATGCGACTGTGAATGGAGAGACAGCGGCGGGGGACGTGGTGGTTGCTGCAGCTGGCGGGGCAGCGCTGGATGATTACTCGGGTGAGTGAACTTTTGAGTCGACTCTAAAATGGGATCATGGCGGTATCGCTGGCAGGGCCGTCGTATTACCCCTCTGCTGCGTATGCGACTGTGAATGGAGAGACAGCGGCGGGGGACGTGGTGGTTGCTGCAGCTGGCGGGGCAGCGCTGGATGATTACTCGGGTGAGTGAACTTTTGAGTCGACTCTAAAATGGGATCATGGCGGTATCGCTGGCAGGGCCGTCGTATTACCCCTCTGCTGCGTATGCGACTGTGAATGGAGAGACAGCGGCGGGGGACGTGGTGGTTGCTGCAGCTGGCGGGGCAGCGCTGGATGATTACTCGGGTGAGTGAACTTTTGAGTCGACTCTAAAATGGGATCATGGCGGTATCGCTGGCAGGGCCGTCGTATTACCCCTCTGCTGCGTATGCGACTGTGAATGGAGAGACAGCGGCGGGGGACGTGGTGGTTGCTGCAGCTGGCGGGGCAGCGCTGGATGATTACTCGGGTGAGTGAACTTTTGAGTCGACTCTAAAATGGGATCATGGCGGTATCGCTGGCAGGGCCGTCGTATTACCCCTCTGCTGCGTATGCGACTGTGAATGGAGAGACAGCGGCGGGGGACGTGGTGGTTGCTGCAGCTGGCGGGGCAGCGCTGGATGATTACTCGGGTGAGTGAACTTTTGAGTCGACTCTAAAATGGGATCATGGCGGTATCGCTGGCAGGGCCGTCGTATTACCCCTCTGCTGCGTATGCGACTGTGAATGGAGAGACAGCGGCGGGGGACGTGGTGGTTGCTGCAGCTGGCGGGGCAGCGCTGGATGATTACTCGGGTGAGTGAACTTTTGAGTCGACTCTAAAATGGGATCATGGCGGTATCGCTGGCAGGGCCGTCGTATTACCCCTCTGCTGCGTATGCGACTGTGAATGGAGAGACAGCGGCGGGGGACGTGGTGGTTGCTGCAGCTGGCGGGGCAGCGCTGGATGATTACTCGGGTGAGTGAACTTTTGAGTCGACTCTAAAATGGGATCATGGCGGTATCGCTGGCAGGGCCGTCGTATTACCCCTCTGCTGCGTATGCGACTGTGAATGGAGAGACAGCGGCGGGGGACGTGGTGGTTGCTGCAGCTGGCGGGGCAGCGCTGGATGATTACTCGGGTGAGTGAACTTTTGAGTCGACTCTAAAATGGGATCATGGCGGTATCGCTGGCAGGGCCGTCGTATTACCCCTCTGCTGCGTATGCGACTGTGAATGGAGAGACAGCGGCGGGGGACGTGGTGGTTGCTGCAGCTGGCGGGGCAGCGCTGGATGATTACTCGGGTGAGTGAACTTTTGAGTCGACTCTAAAATGGGATCATGGCGGTATCGCTGGCAGGGCCGTCGTATTACCCCTCTGCTGCGTATGCGACTGTGAATGGAGAGACAGCGGCGGGGGACGTGGTGGTTGCTGCAGCTGGCGGGGCAGCGCTGGATGATTACTCGGGTGAGTGAACTTTTGAGTCGACTCTAAAATGGGATCATGGCGGTATCGCTGGCAGGGCCGTCGTATTACCCCTCTGCTGCGTATGCGACTGTGAATGGAGAGACAGCGGCGGGGGACGTGGTGGTTGCTGCAGCTGGCGGGGCAGCGCTGGATGATTACTCGGGTGAGTGAACTTTTGAGTCGACTCTAAAATGGGATCATGGCGGTATCGCTGGCAGGGCCGTCGTATTACCCCTCTGCTGCGTATGCGACTGTGAATGGAGAGACAGCGGCGGGGGACGTGGTGGTTGCTGCAGCTGGCGGGGCAGCGCTGGATGATTACTCGGGTGAGTGAACTTTTGAGTCGACTCTAAAATGGGATCATGGCGGTATCGCTGGCAGGGCCGTCGTATTACCCCTCTGCTGCGTATGCGACTGTGAATGGAGAGACAGCGGCGGGGGACGTGGTGGTTGCTGCAGCTGGCGGGGCAGCGCTGGATGATTACTCGGGTGAGTGAACTTTTGAGTCGACTCTAAAATGGGATCATGGCGGTATCGCTGGCAGGGCCGTCGTATTACCCCTCTGCTGCGTATGCGACTGTGAATGGAGAGACAGCGGCGGGGGACGTGGTGGTTGCTGCAGCTGGCGGGGCAGCGCTGGATGATTACTCGGGTGAGTGAACTTTTGAGTCGACTCTAAAATGGGATCATGGCGGTATCGCTGGCAGGGCCGTCGTATTACCCCTCTGCTGCGTATGCGACTGTGAATGGAGAGACAGCGGCGGGGGACGTGGTGGTTGCTGCAGCTGGCGGGGCAGCGCTGGATGATTACTCGGGTGAGTGAACTTTTGAGTCGACTCTAAAATGGGATCATGGCGGTATCGCTGGCAGGGCCGTCGTATTACCCCTCTGCTGCGTATGCGACTGTGAATGGAGAGACAGCGGCGGGGGACGTGGTGGTTGCTGCAGCTGGCGGGGCAGCGCTGGATGATTACTCGGGTGAGTGAACTTTTGAGTCGACTCTAAAATGGGATCATGGCGGTATCGCTGGCAGGGCCGTCGTATTACCCCTCTGCTGCGTATGCGACTGTGAATGGAGAGACAGCGGCGGGGGACGTGGTGGTTGCTGCAGCTGGCGGGGCAGCGCTGGATGATTACTCGGGTGAGTGAACTTTTGAGTCGACTCTAAAATGGGATCATGGCGGTATCGCTGGCAGGGCCGTCGTATTACCCCTCTGCTGCGTATGCGACTGTGAATGGAGAGACAGCGGCGGGGGACGTGGTGGTTGCTGCAGCTGGCGGGGCAGCGCTGGATGATTACTCGGGTGAGTGACTTTTGAGTCGACTCTAAAATGGGATCATGGCGGTATCGCTGGCAGGGCCGTCGTATTACCCCTCTGCTGCGTATGCGACTGTGAATGGAGAGACAGCGGCGGGGGACGTGGTGGTTGCTGCAGCTGGCGGGGCAGCGCTGGATGATTACTCGGGTGAGTGGAACTTTTGAGTCGACTCTAAAATGGGATCATGGCGGTATCGCTGGCAGGGCCGTCGTATTACCCCTCTGCTGCGTATGCGACTGTGAATGGAGAGACAGCGGCGGGGGACGTGGTGGTTGCTGCAGCTGGCGGGGCAGCGCTGGATGATTACTCGGGTGAGTGAACTTTTGAGTCGACTCTAAAATGGGATCATGGCGGTATCGCTGGCAGGGCCGTCGTATTACCCCTCTGCTGCGTATGCGACTGTGAATGGAGAGACAGCGGCGGGGGACGTGGTGGTTGCTGCAGCTGGCGGGGCAGCGCTGGATGATTACTCGGGTGAGTGAACTTTTGAGTCGACTCTAAAATGGGATCATGGCGGTATCGCTGGCAGGGCCGTCGTATTACCCCTCTGCTGCGTATGCGACTGTGAATGGAGAGACAGCGGCGGGGGACGTGGTGGTTGCTGCAGCTGGCGGGGCAGCGCTGGATGATTACTCGGGTGAGTGAACTTTTGAGTCGACTCTAAAATGGGATCATGGCGGTATCGCTGGCAGGGCCGTCGTATTACCCCTCTGCTGCGTATGCGACTGTGAATGGAGAGACAGCGGCGGGGGACGTGGTGGTTGCTGCAGCTGGCGGGGCAGCGCTGGATGATTACTCGGGTGAGTGAACTTTTGAGTCGACTCTAAAATGGGATCATGGCGGTATCGCTGGCAGGGCCGTCGTATTACCCCTCTGCTGCGTATGCGACTGTGAATGGAGAGACAGCGGCGGGGGACGTGGTGGTTGCTGCAGCTGGCGGGGCAGCGCTGGATGATTACTCGGGTGAGTGAACTTTTGAGTCGACTCTAAAATGGGATCATGGCGGTATCGCTGGCAGGGCCGTCGTATTACCCCTCTGCTGCGTATGCGACTGTGAATGGAGAGACAGCGGCGGGGGACGTGGTGGTTGCTGCAGCTGGCGGGGCAGCGCTGGATGATTACTCGGGTGAGTGAACTTTTGAGTCGACTCTAAAATGGGATCATGGCGGTATCGCTGGCAGGGCCGTCGTATTACCCCTCTGCTGCGTATGCGACTGTGAATGGAGAGACAGCGGCGGGGGACGTGGTGGTTGCTGCAGCTGGCGGGGCAGCGCTGGATGATTACTCGGGTGAGTGAACTTTTGAGTCGACTCTAAAATGGGATCATGGCGGTATCGCTGGCAGGGCCGTCGTATTACCCCTCTGCTGCGTATGCGACTGTGAATGGAGAGACAGCGGCGGGGGACGTGGTGGTTGCTGCAGCTGGCGGGGCAGCGCTGGATGATTACTCGGGTGAGTGAACTTTTGAGTCGACTCTAAAATGGGATCATGGCGGTATCGCTGGCAGGGCCGTCGTATTACCCCTCTGCTGCGTATGCGACTGTGAATGGAGAGACAGCGGCGGGGGACGTGGTGGTTGCTGCAGCTGGCGGGGCAGCGCTGGATGATTACTCGGGTGAGTGAACTTTTGAGTCGACTCTAAAATGGGATCATGGCGGTATCGCTGGCAGGGCCGTCGTATTACCCCTCTGCTGCGTATGCGACTGTGAATGGAGAGACAGCGGCGGGGGACGTGGTGGTTGCTGCAGCTGGCGGGGCAGCGCTGGATGATTACTCGGGTGAGTGAACTTTTGAGTCGACTCTAAAATGGGATCATGGCGGTATCGCTGGCAGGGCCGTCGTATTACCCCTCTGCTGCGTATGCGACTGTGAATGGAGAGACAGCGGCGGGGGACGTGGTGGTTGCTGCAGCTGGCGGGGCAGCGCTGGATGATTACTCGGGTGAGTGAACTTTTGAGTCGACTCTAAAATGGGATCATGGCGGTATCGCTGGCAGGGCCGTCGTATTACCCCTCTGCTGCGTATGCGACTGTGAATGGAGAGACAGCGGCGGGGGACGTGGTGGTTGCTGCAGCTGGCGGGGCAGCGCTGGATGATTACTCGGGTGAGTGAACTTTTGAGTCGACTCTAAAATGGGATCATGGCGGTATCGCTGGCAGGGCCGTCGTATTACCCCTCTGCTGCGTATGCGACTGTGAATGGAGAGACAGCGGCGGGGGACGTGGTGGTTGCTGCAGCTGGCGGGGCAGCGCTGGATGATTACTCGGGTGAGTGAACTTTTGAGTCGACTCTAAAATGGGATCATGGCGGTATCGCTGGCAGGGCCGTCGTATTACCCCTCTGCTGCGTATGCGACTGTGAATGGAGAGACAGCGGCGGGGGACGTGGTGGTTGCTGCAGCTGGCGGGGCAGCGCTGGATGATTACTCGGGTGAGTGAACTTTTGAGTCGACTCTAAAATGGGATCATGGCGGTATCGCTGGCAGGGCCGTCGTATTACCCCTCTGCTGCGTATGCGACTGTGAATGGAGAGACAGCGGCGGGGGACGTGGTGGTTGCTGCAGCTGGCGGGGCAGCGCTGGATGATTACTCGGGTGAGTGAACTTTTGAGTCGACTCTAAAATGGGATCATGGCGGTATCGCTGGCAGGGCCGTCGTATTACCCCTCTGCTGCGTATGCGACTGTGAATGGAGAGACAGCGGCGGGGGACGTGGTGGTTGCTGCAGCTGGCGGGGCAGCGCTGGATGATTACTCGGGTGAGTGAACTTTTGAGTCGACTCTAAAATGGGATCATGGCGGTATCGCTGGCAGGGCCGTCGTATTACCCCTCTGCTGCGTATGCGACTGTGAATGGAGAGACAGCGGCGGGGGACGTGGTGGTTGCTGCAGCTGGCGGGGCAGCGCTGGATGATTACTCGGGTGAGTGAACTTTTGAGTCGACTCTAAAATGGGATCATGGCGGTATCGCTGGCAGGGCCGTCGTATTACCCCTCTGCTGCGTATGCGACTGTGAATGGAGAGACAGCGGCGGGGGACGTGGTGGTTGCTGCAGCTGGCGGGGCAGCGCTGGATGATTACTCGGGTGAGTGAACTTTTGAGTCGACTCTAAAATGGGATCATGGCGGTATCGCTGGCAGGGCCGTCGTATTACCCCTCTGCTGCGTATGCGACTGTGAATGGAGAGACAGCGGCGGGGGACGTGGTGGTTGCTGCAGCTGGCGGGGCAGCGCTGGATGATTACTCGGGTGAGTGAACTTTTGAGTCGACTCTAAAATGGGATCATGGCGGTATCGCTGGCAGGGCCGTCGTATTACCCCTCTGCTGCGTATGCGACTGTGAATGGAGAGACAGCGGCGGGGGACGTGGTGGTTGCTGCAGCTGGCGGGGCAGCGCTGGATGATTACTCGGGTGAGTGAACTTTTGAGTCGACTCTAAAATGGGATCATGGCGGTATCGCTGGCAGGGCCGTCGTATTACCCCTCTGCTGCGTATGCGACTGTGAATGGAGAGACAGCGGCGGGGGACGTGGTGGTTGCTGCAGCTGGCGGGGCAGCGCTGGATGATTACTCGGGTGAGTGAACTTTTGAGTCGACTCTAAAATGGGATCATGGCGGTATCGCTGGCAGGGCCGTCGTATTACCCCTCTGCTGCGTATGCGACTGTGAATGGAGAGACAGCGGCGGGGGACGTGGTGGTTGCTGCAGCTGGCGGGGCAGCGCTGGATGATTACTCGGGTGAGTGAACTTTTGAGTCGACTCTAAAATGGGATCATGGCGGTATCGCTGGCAGGGCCGTCGTATTACCCCTCTGCTGCGTATGCGACTGTGAATGGAGAGACAGCGGCGGGGGACGTGGTGGTTGCTGCAGCTGGCGGGGCAGCGCTGGATGATTACTCGGGTGAGTGAACTTTTGAGTCGACTCTAAAATGGGATCATGGCGGTATCGCTGGCAGGGCCGTCGTATTACCCCTCTGCTGCGTATGCGACTGTGAATGGAGAGACAGCGGCGGGGGACGTGGTGGTTGCTGCAGCTGGCGGGGCAGCGCTGGATGATTACTCGGGTGAGTGGACTTTTGAGTCGACTCTAAAATGGGATCATGGCGGTATCGCTGGCAGGGCCGTCGTATTACCCCTCTGCTGCGTATGCGACTGTGAATGGAGAGACAGCGGCGGGGGACGTGGTGGTTGCTGCAGCTGGCGGGGCAGCGCTGGATGATTACTCGGGTGAGTGAACTTTTGAGTCGACTCTAAAATGGGATCATGGCGGTATCGCTGGCAGGGCCGTCGTATTACCCCTCTGCTGCGTATGCGACTGTGAATGGAGAGACAGCGGCGGGGGACGTGGTGGTTGCTGCAGCTGGCGGGGCAGCGCTGGATGATTACTCGGGTGAGTGAACTTTTGAGTCGACTCTAAAATGGGATCATGGCGGTATCGCTGGCAGGGCCGTCGTATTACCCCTCTGCTGCGTATGCGACTGTGAATGGAGAGACAGCGGCGGGGGACGTGGTGGTTGCTGCAGCTGGCGGGGCAGCGCTGGATGATTACTCGGGTGAGTGAACTTTTGAGTCGACTCTAAAATGGGATCATGGCGGTATCGCTGGCAGGGCCGTCGTATTACCCCTCTGCTGCGTATGCGACTGTGAATGGAGAGACAGCGGCGGGGGACGTGGTGGTTGCTGCAGCTGGCGGGGCAGCGCTGGATGATTACTCGGGTGAGTGAACTTTTGAGTCGACTCTAAAATGGGATCATGGCGGTATCGCTGGCAGGGCCGTCGTATTACCCCTCTGCTGCGTATGCGACTGTGAATGGAGAGACAGCGGCGGGGGACGTGGTGGTTGCTGCAGCTGGCGGGGCAGCGCTGGATGATTACTCGGGTGAGTGAACTTTTGAGTCGACTCTAAAATGGGATCATGGCGGTATCGCTGGCAGGGCCGTCGTATTACCCCTCTGCTGCGTATGCGACTGTGAATGGAGAGACAGCGGCGGGGGACGTGGTGGTTGCTGCAGCTGGCGGGGCAGCGCTGGATGATTACTCGGGTGAGTGAACTTTTGAGTCGACTCTAAAATGGGATCATGGCGGTATCGCTGGCAGGGCCGTCGTATTACCCCTCTGCTGCGTATGCGACTGTGAATGGAGAGACAGCGGCGGGGGACGTGGTGGTTGCTGCAGCTGGCGGGGCAGCGCTGGATGATTACTCGGGTGAGTGAACTTTTGAGTCGACTCTAAAATGGGATCATGGCGGTATCGCTGGCAGGGCCGTCGTATTACCCCTCTGCTGCGTATGCGACTGTGAATGGAGAGACAGCGGCGGGGGACGTGGTGGTTGCTGCAGCTGGCGGGGCAGCGCTGGATGATTACTCGGGTGAGTGGAACTTTTGAGTCGACTCTAAAATGGGATCATGGCGGTATCGCTGGCAGGGCCGTCGTATTACCCCTCTGCTGCGTATGCGACTGTGAATGGAGAGACAGCGGCGGGGGACGTGGTGGTTGCTGCAGCTGGCGGGGCAGCGCTGGATGATTACTCGGGTGAGTGAACTTTTGAGTCGACTCTAAAATGGGATCATGGCGGTATCGCTGGCAGGGCCGTCGTATTACCCCTCTGCTGCGTATGCGACTGTGAATGGAGAGACAGCGGCGGGGGACGTGGTGGTTGCTGCAGCTGGCGGGGCAGCGCTGGATGATTACTCGGGTGAGTGAACTTTTGAGTCGACTCTAAAATGGGATCATGGCGGTATCGCTGGCAGGGCCGTCGTATTACCCCTCTGCTGCGTATGCGACTGTGAATGGAGAGACAGCGGCGGGGGACGTGGTGGTTGCTGCAGCTGGCGGGGCAGCGCTGGATGATTACTCGGGTGAGTGAACTTTTGAGTCGACTCTAAAATGGGATCATGGCGGTATCGCTGGCAGGGCCGTCGTATTACCCCTCTGCTGCGTATGCGACTGTGAATGGAGAGACAGCGGCGGGGGACGTGGTGGTTGCTGCAGCTGGCGGGGCAGCGCTGGATGATTACTCGGGTGAGTGAACTTTTGAGTCGACTCTAAAATGGGATCATGGCGGTATCGCTGGCAGGGCCGTCGTATTACCCCTCTGCTGCGTATGCGACTGTGAATGGAGAGACAGCGGCGGGGGACGTGGTGGTTGCTGCAGCTGGCGGGGCAGCGCTGGATGATTACTCGGGTGAGTGAACTTTTGAGTCGACTCTAAAATGGGATCATGGCGGTATCGCTGGCAGGGCCGTCGTATTACCCCTCTGCTGCGTATGCGACTGTGAATGGAGAGACAGCGGCGGGGGACGTGGTGGTTGCTGCAGCTGGCGGGGCAGCGCTGGATGATTACTCGGGTGAGTGAACTTTTGAGTCGACTCTAAAATGGGATCATGGCGGTATCGCTGGCAGGGCCGTCGTATTACCCCTCTGCTGCGTATGCGACTGTGAATGGAGAGACAGCGGCGGGGGACGTGGTGGTTGCTGCAGCTGGCGGGGCAGCGCTGGATGATTACTCGGGTGAGTGAACTTTTGAGTCGACTCTAAAATGGGATCATGGCGGTATCGCTGGCAGGGCCGTCGTATTACCCCTCTGCTGCGTATGCGACTGTGAATGGAGAGACAGCGGCGGGGGACGTGGTGGTTGCTGCAGCTGGCGGGGCAGCGCTGGATGATTACTCGGGTGAGTGAACTTTTGAGTCGACTCTAAAATGGGATCATGGCGGTATCGCTGGCAGGGCCGTCGTATTACCCCTCTGCTGCGTATGCGACTGTGAATGGAGAGACAGCGGCGGGGGACGTGGTGGTTGCTGCAGCTGGCGGGGCAGCGCTGGATGATTACTCGGGTGAGTGAACTTTTGAGTCGACTCTAAAATGGGATCATGGCGGTATCGCTGGCAGGGCCGTCGTATTACCCCTCTGCTGCGTATGCGACTGTGAATGGAGAGACAGCGGCGGGGGACGTGGTGGTTGCTGCAGCTGGCGGGGCAGCGCTGGATGATTACTCGGGTGAGTGAACTTTTGAGTCGACTCTAAAATGGGATCATGGCGGTATCGCTGGCAGGGCCGTCGTATTACCCCTCTGCTGCGTATGCGACTGTGAATGGAGAGACAGCGGCGGGGGACGTGGTGGTTGCTGCAGCTGGCGGGGCAGCGCTGGATGATTACTCGGGTGAGTGGAACTTTTGAGTCGACTCTAAAATGGGATCATGGCGGTATCGCTGGCAGGGCCGTCGTATTACCCCTCTGCTGCGTATGCGACTGTGAATGGAGAGACAGCGGCGGGGGACGTGGTGGTTGCTGCAGCTGGCGGGGCAGCGCTGGATGATTACTCGGGTGAGTGAACTTTTGAGTCGACTCTAAAATGGGATCATGGCGGTATCGCTGGCAGGGCCGTCGTATTACCCCTCTGCTGCGTATGCGACTGTGAATGGAGAGACAGCGGCGGGGGACGTGGTGGTTGCTGCAGCTGGCGGGGCAGCGCTGGATGATTACTCGGGTGAGTGAACTTTTGAGTCGACTCTAAAATGGGATCATGGCGGTATCGCTGGCAGGGCCGTCGTATTACCCCTCTGCTGCGTATGCGACTGTGAATGGAGAGACAGCGGCGGGGGACGTGGTGGTTGCTGCAGCTGGCGGGGCAGCGCTGGATGATTACTCGGGTGAGTGAACTTTTGAGTCGACTCTAAAATGGGATCATGGCGGTATCGCTGGCAGGGCCGTCGTATTACCCCTCTGCTGCGTATGCGACTGTGAATGGAGAGACAGCGGCGGGGGACGTGGTGGTTGCTGCAGCTGGCGGGGCAGCGCTGGATGATTACTCGGGTGAGTGAACTTTTGAGTCGACTCTAAAATGGGATCATGGCGGTATCGCTGGCAGGGCCGTCGTATTACCCCTCTGCTGCGTATGCGACTGTGAATGGAGAGACAGCGGCGGGGGACGTGGTGGTTGCTGCAGCTGGCGGGGCAGCGCTGGATGATTACTCGGGTGAGTGAACTTTTGAGTCGACTCTAAAATGGGATCATGGCGGTATCGCTGGCAGGGCCGTCGTATTACCCCTCTGCTGCGTATGCGACTGTGAATGGAGAGACAGCGGCGGGGGACGTGGTGGTTGCTGCAGCTGGCGGGGCAGCGCTGGATGATTACTCGGGTGAGTGAACTTTTGAGTCGACTCTAAAATGGGATCATGGCGGTATCGCTGGCAGGGCCGTCGTATTACCCCTCTGCTGCGTATGCGACTGTGAATGGAGAGACAGCGGCGGGGGACGTGGTGGTTGCTGCAGCTGGCGGGGCAGCGCTGGATGATTACTCGGGTGAGTGAACTTTTGAGTCGACTCTAAAATGGGATCATGGCGGTATCGCTGGCAGGGCCGTCGTATTACCCCTCTGCTGCGTATGCGACTGTGAATGGAGAGACAGCGGCGGGGGACGTGGTGGTTGCTGCAGCTGGCGGGGCAGCGCTGGATGATTACTCGGGTGAGTGAACTTTTGAGTCGACTCTAAAATGGGATCATGGCGGTATCGCTGGCAGGGCCGTCGTATTACCCCTCTGCTGCGTATGCGACTGTGAATGGAGAGACAGCGGCGGGGGACGTGGTGGTTGCTGCAGCTGGCGGGGCAGCGCTGGATGATTACTCGGGTGAGTGAACTTTTGAGTCGACTCTAAAATGGGATCATGGCGGTATCGCTGGCAGGGCCGTCGTATTACCCCTCTGCTGCGTATGCGACTGTGAATGGAGAGACAGCGGCGGGGGACGTGGTGGTTGCTGCAGCTGGCGGGGCAGCGCTGGATGATTACTCGGGTGAGTGAACTTTTGAGTCGACTCTAAAATGGGATCATGGCGGTATCGCTGGCAGGGCCGTCGTATTACCCCTCTGCTGCGTATGCGACTGTGAATGGAGAGACAGCGGCGGGGGACGTGGTGGTTGCTGCAGCTGGCGGGGCAGCGCTGGATGATTACTCGGGTGAGTGAACTTTTGAGTCGACTCTAAAATGGGATCATGGCGGTATCGCTGGCAGGGCCGTCGTATTACCCCTCTGCTGCGTATGCGACTGTGAATGGAGAGACAGCGGCGGGGGACGTGGTGGTTGCTGCAGCTGGCGGGGCAGCGCTGGATGATTACTCGGGTGAGTGAACTTTTGAGTCGACTCTAAAATGGGATCATGGCGGTATCGCTGGCAGGGCCGTCGTATTACCCCTCTGCTGCGTATGCGACTGTGAATGGAGAGACAGCGGCGGGGGACGTGGTGGTTGCTGCAGCTGGCGGGGCAGCGCTGGATGATTACTCGGGTGAGTGAACTTTTGAGTCGACTCTAAAATGGGATCATGGCGGTATCGCTGGCAGGGCCGTCGTATTACCCCTCTGCTGCGTATGCGACTGTGAATGGAGAGACAGCGGCGGGGGACGTGGTGGTTGCTGCAGCTGGCGGGGCAGCGCTGGATGATTACTCGGGTGAGTGAACTTTTGAGTCGACTCTAAAATGGGATCATGGCGGTATCGCTGGCAGGGCCGTCGTATTACCCCTCTGCTGCGTATGCGACTGTGAATGGAGAGACAGCGGCGGGGGACGTGGTGGTTGCTGCAGCTGGCGGGGCAGCGCTGGATGATTACTCGGGTGAGTGAACTTTTGAGTCGACTCTAAAATGGGATCATGGCGGTATCGCTGGCAGGGCCGTCGTATTACCCCTCTGCTGCGTATGCGACTGTGAATGGAGAGACAGCGGCGGGGGACGTGGTGGTTGCTGCAGCTGGCGGGGCAGCGCTGGATGATTACTCGGGTGAGTGAACTTTTGAGTCGACTCTAAAATGGGATCATGGCGGTATCGCTGGCAGGGCCGTCGTATTACCCCTCTGCTGCGTATGCGACTGTGAATGGAGAGACAGCGGCGGGGGACGTGGTGGTTGCTGCAGCTGGCGGGGCAGCGCTGGATGATTACTCGGGTGAGTGAACTTTTGAGTCGACTCTAAAATGGGATCATGGCGGTATCGCTGGCAGGGCCGTCGTATTACCCCTCTGCTGCGTATGCGACTGTGAATGGAGAGACAGCGGCGGGGGACGTGGTGGTTGCTGCAGCTGGCGGGGCAGCGCTGGATGATTACTCGGGTGAGTGAACTTTTGAGTCGACTCTAAAATGGGATCATGGCGGTATCGCTGGCAGGGCCGTCGTATTACCCCTCTGCTGCGTATGCGACTGTGAATGGAGAGACAGCGGCGGGGGACGTGGTGGTTGCTGCAGCTGGCGGGGCAGCGCTGGATGATTACTCGGGTGAGTGAACTTTTGAGTCGACTCTAAAATGGGATCATGGCGGTATCGCTGGCAGGGCCGTCGTATTACCCCTCTGCTGCGTATGCGACTGTGAATGGAGAGACAGCGGCGGGGGACGTGGTGGTTGCTGCAGCTGGCGGGGCAGCGCTGGATGATTACTCGGGTGAGTGAACTTTTGAGTCGACTCTAAAATGGGATCATGGCGGTATCGCTGGCAGGGCCGTCGTATTACCCCTCTGCTGCGTATGCGACTGTGAATGGAGAGACAGCGGCGGGGGACGTGGTGGTTGCTGCAGCTGGCGGGGCAGCGCTGGATGATTACTCGGGTGAGTGAACTTTTGAGTCGACTCTAAAATGGGATCATGGCGGTATCGCTGGCAGGGCCGTCGTATTACCCCTCTGCTGCGTATGCGACTGTGAATGGAGAGACAGCGGCGGGGGACGTGGTGGTTGCTGCAGCTGGCGGGGCAGCGCTGGATGATTACTCGGGTGAGTGAACTTTTGAGTCGACTCTAAAATGGGATCATGGCGGTATCGCTGGCAGGGCCGTCGTATTACCCCTCTGCTGCGTATGCGACTGTGAATGGAGAGACAGCGGCGGGGGACGTGGTGGTTGCTGCAGCTGGCGGGGCAGCGCTGGATGATTACTCGGGTGAGTGAACTTTTGAGTCGACTCTAAAATGGGATCATGGCGGTATCGCTGGCAGGGCCGTCGTATTACCCCTCTGCTGCGTATGCGACTGTGAATGGAGAGACAGCGGCGGGGGACGTGGTGGTTGCTGCAGCTGGCGGGGCAGCGCTGGATGATTACTCGGGTGAGTGAACTTTTGAGTCGACTCTAAAATGGGATCATGGCGGTATCGCTGGCAGGGCCGTCGTATTACCCCTCTGCTGCGTATGCGACTGTGAATGGAGAGACAGCGGCGGGGGACGTGGTGGTTGCTGCAGCTGGCGGGGCAGCGCTGGATGATTACTCGGGTGAGTGAACTTTTGAGTCGACTCTAAAATGGGATCATGGCGGTATCGCTGGCAGGGCCGTCGTATTACCCCTCTGCTGCGTATGCGACTGTGAATGGAGAGACAGCGGCGGGGGACGTGGTGGTTGCTGCAGCTGGCGGGGCAGCGCTGGATGATTACTCGGGTGAGTGAACTTTTGAGTCGACTCTAAAATGGGATCATGGCGGTATCGCTGGCAGGGCCGTCGTATTACCCCTCTGCTGCGTATGCGACTGTGAATGGAGAGACAGCGGCGGGGGACGTGGTGGTTGCTGCAGCTGGCGGGGCAGCGCTGGATGATTACTCGGGTGAGTGAACTTTTGAGTCGACTCTAAAATGGGATCATGGCGGTATCGCTGGCAGGGCCGTCGTATTACCCCTCTGCTGCGTATGCGACTGTGAATGGAGAGACAGCGGCGGGGGACGTGGTGGTTGCTGCAGCTGGCGGGGCAGCGCTGGATGATTACTCGGGTGAGTGAACTTTTGAGTCGACTCTAAAATGGGATCATGGCGGTATCGCTGGCAGGGCCGTCGTATTACCCCTCTGCTGCGTATGCGACTGTGAATGGAGAGACAGCGGCGGGGGACGTGGTGGTTGCTGCAGCTGGCGGGGCAGCGCTGGATGATTACTCGGGTGAGTGAACTTTTGAGTCGACTCTAAAATGGGATCATGGCGGTATCGCTGGCAGGGCCGTCGTATTACCCCTCTGCTGCGTATGCGACTGTGAATGGAGAGACAGCGGCGGGGGACGTGGTGGTTGCTGCAGCTGGCGGGGCAGCGCTGGATGATTACTCGGGTGAGTGAACTTTTGAGTCGACTCTAAAATGGGATCATGGCGGTATCGCTGGCAGGGCCGTCGTATTACCCCTCTGCTGCGTATGCGACTGTGAATGGAGAGACAGCGGCGGGGGACGTGGTGGTTGCTGCAGCTGGCGGGGCAGCGCTGGATGATTACTCGGGTGAGTGAACTTTTGAGTCGACTCTAAAATGGGATCATGGCGGTATCGCTGGCAGGGCCGTCGTATTACCCCTCTGCTGCGTATGCGACTGTGAATGGAGAGACAGCGGCGGGGGACGTGGTGGTTGCTGCAGCTGGCGGGGCAGCGCTGGATGATTACTCGGGTGAGTGAACTTTTGAGTCGACTCTAAAATGGGATCATGGCGGTATCGCTGGCAGGGCCGTCGTATTACCCCTCTGCTGCGTATGCGACTGTGAATGGAGAGACAGCGGCGGGGGACGTGGTGGTTGCTGCAGCTGGCGGGGCAGCGCTGGATGATTACTCGGGTGAGTGAACTTTTGAGTCGACTCTAAAATGGGATCATGGCGGTATCGCTGGCAGGGCCGTCGTATTACCCCTCTGCTGCGTATGCGACTGTGAATGGAGAGACAGCGGCGGGGGACGTGGTGGTTGCTGCAGCTGGCGGGGCAGCGCTGGATGATTACTCGGGTGAGTGAACTTTTGAGTCGACTCTAAAATGGGATCATGGCGGTATCGCTGGCAGGGCCGTCGTATTACCCCTCTGCTGCGTATGCGACTGTGAATGGAGAGACAGCGGCGGGGGACGTGGTGGTTGCTGCAGCTGGCGGGGCAGCGCTGGATGATTACTCGGGTGAGTGAACTTTTGAGTCGACTCTAAAATGGGATCATGGCGGTATCGCTGGCAGGGCCGTCGTATTACCCCTCTGCTGCGTATGCGACTGTGAATGGAGAGACAGCGGCGGGGGACGTGGTGGTTGCTGCAGCTGGCGGGGCAGCGCTGGATGATTACTCGGGTGAGTGAACTTTTGAGTCGACTCTAAAATGGGATCATGGCGGTATCGCTGGCAGGGCCGTCGTATTACCCCTCTGCTGCGTATGCGACTGTGAATGGAGAGACAGCGGCGGGGGACGTGGTGGTTGCTGCAGCTGGCGGGGCAGCGCTGGATGATTACTCGGGTGAGTGAACTTTTGAGTCGACTCTAAAATGGGATCATGGCGGTATCGCTGGCAGGGCCGTCGTATTACCCCTCTGCTGCGTATGCGACTGTGAATGGAGAGACAGCGGCGGGGGACGTGGTGGTTGCTGCAGCTGGCGGGGCAGCGCTGGATGATTACTCGGGTGAGTGAACTTTTGAGTCGACTCTAAAATGGGATCATGGCGGTATCGCTGGCAGGGCCGTCGTATTACCCCTCTGCTGCGTATGCGACTGTGAATGGAGAGACAGCGGCGGGGGACGTGGTGGTTGCTGCAGCTGGCGGGGCAGCGCTGGATGATTACTCGGGTGAGTGAACTTTTGAGTCGACTCTAAAATGGGATCATGGCGGTATCGCTGGCAGGGCCGTCGTATTACCCCTCTGCTGCGTATGCGACTGTGAATGGAGAGACAGCGGCGGGGGACGTGGTGGTTGCTGCAGCTGGCGGGGCAGCGCTGGATGATTACTCGGGTGAGTGAACTTTTGAGTCGACTCTAAAATGGGATCATGGCGGTATCGCTGGCAGGGCCGTCGTATTACCCCTCTGCTGCGTATGCGACTGTGAATGGAGAGACAGCGGCGGGGGACGTGGTGGTTGCTGCAGCTGGCGGGGCAGCGCTGGATGATTACTCGGGTGAGTGAACTTTTGAGTCGACTCTAAAATGGGATCATGGCGGTATCGCTGGCAGGGCCGTCGTATTACCCCTCTGCTGCGTATGCGACTGTGAATGGAGAGACAGCGGCGGGGGACGTGGTGGTTGCTGCAGCTGGCGGGGCAGCGCTGGATGATTACTCGGGTGAGTGAACTTTTGAGTCGACTCTAAAATGGGATCATGGCGGTATCGCTGGCAGGGCCGTCGTATTACCCCTCTGCTGCGTATGCGACTGTGAATGGAGAGACAGCGGCGGGGGACGTGGTGGTTGCTGCAGCTGGCGGGGCAGCGCTGGATGATTTACTCGGGTGAGTGAACTTTTGAGTCGACTCTAAAATGGGATCATGGCGGTATCGCTGGCAGGGCCGTCGTATTACCCCTCTGCTGCGGATGCGACTGTGAATGGAGAGACAGCGGCGGGGGACGTGGTGGTTGCTGCAGCTGGCGGGGCAGCGCTGGATGATTACTCGGGTGAGTGAACTTTTGAGTCGACTCTAAAATGGGATCATGGCGGTATCGCTGGCAGGGCCGTCGTATTACCCCTCTGCTGCGTATGCGACTGTGAATGGAGAGACAGCGGCGGGGGACGTGGTGGTTGCTGCAGCTGGCGGGGCAGCGCTGGATGATTACTCGGGTGAGTGAACTTTTGAGTCGACTCTAAAATGGGATCATGGCGGTATCGCTGGCAGGGCCGTCGTATTACCCCTCTGCTGCGTATGCGACTGTGAATGGAGAGACAGCGGCGGGGGACGTGGTGGTTGCTGCAGCTGGCGGGGCAGCGCTGGATGATTACTCGGGTGAGTGAACTTTTGAGTCGACTCTAAAATGGGATCATGGCGGTATCGCTGGCAGGGCCGTCGTATTACCCCTCTGCTGCGTATGCGACTGTGAATGGAGAGACAGCGGCGGGGGACGTGGTGGTTGCTGCAGCTGGCGGGGCAGCGCTGGATGATTACTCGGGTGAGTGAACTTTTGAGTCGACTCTAAAATGGGATCATGGCGGTATCGCTGGCAGGGCCGTCGTATTACCCCTCTGCTGCGTATGCGACTGTGAATGGAGAGACAGCGGCGGGGGACGTGGTGGTTGCTGCAGCTGGCGGGGCAGCGCTGGATGATTACTCGGGTGAGTGAACTTTTGAGTCGACTCTAAAATGGGATCATGGCGGTATCGCTGGCAGGGCCGTCGTATTACCCCTCTGCTGCGTATGCGACTGTGAATGGAGAGACAGCGGCGGGGGACGTGGTGGTTGCTGCAGCTGGCGGGGCAGCGCTGGATGATTACTCGGGTGAGTGAACTTTTGAGTCGACTCTAAAATGGGATCATGGCGGTATCGCTGGCAGGGCCGTCGTATTACCCCTCTGCTGCGTATGCGACTGTGAATGGAGAGACAGCGGCGGGGGACGTGGTGGTTGCTGCAGCTGGCGGGGCAGCGCTGGATGATTACTCGGGTGAGTGAACTTTTGAGTCGACTCTAAAATGGGATCATGGCGGTATCGCTGGCAGGGCCGTCGTATTACCCCTCTGCTGCGGATGCGACTGTGAACACGGAGGGAGAGGCGGGAGACGTGGTGGTTGCTGCAGCTGGCGGGGCAGCGCTGGATGATTACTCGGGTGAGTGAGACATGCGGCCTGATCAGGATGGGTTAGAAAGGATTTTCCCCCCTTGCTGCCCATGCTGTGCCAGGTGTTGCTGTGTGTGGATAATGTGTGGTGCTTGCTGCTGCTGGCTTCGCTGAAGCGAGTCTGAGAAACATGATTCCCCAGGGTACATGGGGTTCGCTGAAGCAGTGAGATACGGTGACTACGTGACAGCAGGAATGGACGAGGAGGGCAACGCAAGGGGCCCGTCTCCTTCAACCGTCCACCCCCCCTTTCCTCCTCCCCCACCCTCCCCCTCCCCTCCGCTCTCCCACAGGGTACATGGAAGCAGGCGTGGACGAGGCAGGGCAATGCATGCAGACCTCCAATTCCCCCCTTTTCGTTTTCCCCTCCCCGCCCCAATGCCCTTAATCCCGCCTTTCCCCCACTCCCCACCTGCCCTCCCCTCTCCCAGGGTACATGGGGTTTGCTGCGGCAGTGCGGTACGGCGACTACATGACAGCAGGCATAGACGAGGAGGGCAACGCATGGGGCGCTGTGCAGTATGTGCCGGGGAGACCAAGAACCCACTGGACCAACTGGGCTACTTATATCTTCAAGGTGCAGCTGTAAACGTTCTTGGCGGGTTTGGATGGTACCATCAGCGGTGCTGTGCGGTACAGTATGTGCTGGGGAGGCCCAGGACAGGACCCACTGGAGCAACTGGGCTACCTATATCTTCATTGTGCAGCTGTGACAGAGGACTGAAGAGGGCAACGCATGGGCAGCAGCAGTGCGGTATGTGGTAGGGAGGCCCAGGAAGGACAGGACCCACTGGCGCAACTGTGACAGAGGGCCGAAGAGGGCAACGCATGGGCAGCAGCAGTGCGGTATGTGGTAGGGAGGCCCAGGAAGGACAGGACCCACTGGCGCAACTGTGACAGAGGACTGAAGAGGGCAACGCATGGGCAGCAGCAGTGCGGTATGTGGTAGGGAGGCCCAGGAAGGACAGGACCCACTGGCGCAACTGTGACAGAGGGCCGAAGAGGGCAACGCATGGGCAGCAGTGCAGTACGTGCAAGGGAGGCCCAGGACAGGACCCACTAGAGCAACTGGGGTGCTTGTATTGCCAAGGTTCCTCTGATTTGGATTACAGTACCGCGCTGTATATCCCGTGAGGACCGAGGAGAACCAATCGGAGCAACTGGGGTACGGCATACACCCTTTTTTTAGGTGCCTCAGAAGGAGTATTTTCTGGGAGGGAGCACCTGGAAGACACGTTGCTTTTTAAGATCCAACTGTGACTGGTGCAATGCTGATGGTGACAATATGGCTGCCTTGATTCCATATCTTATGTTCCAGGCTCTCACATTGGGTCTGAGGGTGTGTTCCTACGGCCCCTTATCAGGCCAACCTTATATCAGATAGTAAGAACAGCGTTGTACACGTTTTAAAACACCTCTTGTTAGCCCACTACTGAGGCCGCGCACAAATGAGGCATCGCACGAAACATGAATACGTGCACAAACACTTCAGTGCTCGTCTAGGTTTTAATTGGCGTAGCAGTTTGCTTTTGAGTCGACTCAAAAGCACACATGAAACATCAATACGTGTACAAACACTTCAGTGTTGGTGTAGGTTTTAATTGGCGTAGCTGAGAAGTTCTCCCACTTGTACGGCATACCGTAGATTGCATGCGAATTCTCAAAAGCGAAACCAACGAGCAGCAAACAGGTACGGCATCGTTGAATGATAAGAAGTGATGCAGATATGAAAATGAAACAGCATTTGAACATGTTTGACATGGCAAGTGATGAGATGCCATGCATGAGTTGCAGGGAGATATCCTGTGTTGCTGAGGGAGCAACACACGCCGGCATGTGGGCTGATTAGCAGGAATTGCAGGGGGGCCATCCGTGCTGCTGAGGGAGCAACACATGTTTGTGAGATGGCATGTGATGTCATGCGCTGCGATGTTTCTGCCCGCATGAGTTGCAGGGAGACAGTTTGTGTTGCTGAGGGAGCAACACACACATGCGTGTGAGAGAAACACTCCTGCACGTGTAGGGCTGATATCACCCCCTTCTCCTAATTTCTCTACAGACATCATCCCCTTCTAGCCCTTAGGGCGTGTTCCAACGACCTCTTATCAGGCAAACCTCTTGTCAGATTCGTGTCGCACCGCACTGAAACACACGTAATAACATTAGATCGCACTGAAACGCGATGAACCGCACAATTCTGACAGGAGGTCGCCTGATAAGGGGCCGTAGGAACACGCCCTTATTCCCCTTTCTCCCACTCTCCTCTTCCCCGCACTTCCTCAACCCCCCCCCCCCCCCCCCCCTCTTATTCCACCCACATTATCCCCATCCCCCCCGCTATACCCGTCCCCCCTGTATCCCATTCCCCCCAACCTCTCCATTTCTCCCGTTTTCCTACTTCCCCTCGTGATCCCCATTTCCTCCATTGTCCCCATTCCCCCCGCTATCACCACTCCCCCCGTTATCCCCATTTCCCCCGCTGTCCCCATTCCCTCCGTCCCCGTTCGCCCCATCCCCATTCCCCCCCCCCCTCCCCCCCCTGCAGGTCGACTTTGAACACAAAGGTAGCCCAGTTGCTGTAGTTTGTTCGCGGCTGCCCCGCCACATACTGCACTGCCGCCCACGCGTTGCCCTCCTCGTCCATCGTTGCCGTCATGTAGTCACCATATCGCATCTCCGTTGCACCACGGTACCCTTGAGGGGAGAAAGGGGTGGGAAAGACTCGTGAGTCGCATCAAAAGTGCCCTCCCCTCCTCGTCCACCATCGCAGTCATGTAGTCCCCATACCGCATCTCCGTTGCACCGCGGTACCCTGCGGGGGGGAGAGCGAGAGATGGGAGGGTGTGGGTGTGACACATGTGGCGGTGGCTTACCAGTTGCAATTCTTCATGACTGTAAAGTCCCTGTCACATATACCCTACAAGAGGAGACTGGGGTAAGGTGGCAATTCCATAGACTGTAAAGTCGCTGCCACGAGTACCCTACACGAGTAGTAATCAAAAGGAGCTTTCGGTGGGCTGGCAAGGATTCTCCTTAGACGTAAAAAACTGCTATTAATGGAAGTAAGGCCTCCGCAGCCCACCTGCCCAACGTCGGCGATTACTTTGACGCTAAGAAACCAGCAAGCAGCGTAAGAGGACTCACCAGTAAAGTCGTCAAAAGGGCGTTCCTCAGGAAGACAGTATTGTCATGTCCACTAGAAAAACAACAAGCAGAGGCCCAAGCAGAGGGCCAAGCACCCGAGGGCCAAGCACCCGAGGGCCAAGCACCCGAGGGCCAAGCACCCGAGGGCTGAGGACTTACCAGTGAAGTCGTCGAGAGGCGCTTTCCCCGGGCCGGTAACGACCACGCGGCCGACATCCACATTGGCGTTGAGAGTGGCATAGGCAGCTGAGGGGTAGAAGGAACGCCCTGCTAGTGACGCTGCTATGATGCCCTTGCCTTGGCTGGGGAATGGAGTGAAGGGAGAGAGAGAGAGAGTGTGTGTGTGTGTCGGTTTGGCCAAAAAGAGAGCGTGTGGAGGGAAAGAGGACGGTAAGGGCACCGTAAGGGCACGGTAAGGGCACGGTAAGGGCACCGTAAGGGCACCGTAAGGGCACGGTAAGGGTAACATTCTCCTCTCCTCTCCTCTTTCCCTGCTTTATCAGATCCCTCTCTCCCCTCTTTCCCATCCGCCCCTTCCGTCCCCCCTCTCTCCCACCTGTTGAGAGCGATCGTGGGTTGAATGAGACTGTTCCCTCCGCCCACCCCCACCACTTTGAACCGCTCCAGAAACACTTGAAACGGCCGCCACTTGCGCTTGAGCCTCAAGGACAAGCGAAGCCTCGCCACCACGGCAGAAGCACTCATGTCCTTGCCAAAGGCCGACATAAAGCTCACCCACATCTGCCTCTTCCCCGGATTCACCACCACGCCCCGCATATCTACAAACGAAGGGCCGATGGGTGCAATTGTGGTGTTCATCTTCCAAGCTGTGGGAACAGGCCCGGGTTTCTGGGTCACGGGCAAAGGATTATAGTATGGGGGAGTGTTGACGGCAGCACAGTGTGGTTCCACCAAGCGCTCCGCTTCCGGTGTGCCCAGAGCACTTGTACCCGTTATAGCAAAGGCGCCAATCATGGTATAATTTGCAACCAGCACGGTTTCGTTTGGAGCGCCGGGGTTAGAGTTGACTGGTGTCCAGCCGAAGTACATGGTGCCGCCGTGGTGGTAGTCGTAGTCCCCATCAGCTGCGACCTTCTGAGGGAAAATGGTGTAGGCTGGATTGCTTAGGGCCTCTGAGTAAGGGACGACGAAGCGGAGAATGGTGGCATTCTCTGGCCTTTGAAGCTGGGGCTTGGAGATTGCACTGGTAGGGGAGGAAGGGGAGGGGAGGAGTAGGGGAGGAGGCATGTTCACGTGTATGCATGACTGAACCATGGTTGGAACTTGGAAGGGTTGGGATTGTTGTGAGCGTAAGCAATGGTGGGCAAAGGGCAGAGGGGCGACAACTCATAGCCCGCCCGCAAATATATGTTGTCTTTGATTTGAGGTGCGCTCGAGAGACAAACCACTCACTATATGCAAAAACCATGAGATAAAAAACTCACTATACGCAAAAACCAGGAAATAAAACACTCACTATATGAAAAACCATGAAATAAAACACTCACTAAATCCAAAAACCATGAAATAAAACACTCACTATATGCAAGAACCATAGTAGTCGTCAAGCTTCTCCGAGAATTGGTTTATCGACACGTAAAATCCTGGTAGGGGGGAAGTCACGAGCAGATAGTGAGTTACAAGCAAACACAACTTTCTACTTTTTAACTAAGCGAGTCGCTGCCACGTAAAGAAATGGCTCCAACCTGGGGCTCCATTGGACTCACGAGCAGATAGTGAGCGAAATCAGTAGGCTTTTCTGAAAAAATGTAGATAAATACCGTGTGTGTGGGTCAGACTCAGCAGCTATGAAACCATGTAACAACTTGAACTGGAATAACCATATAATGGAACTCAGACGATTGGGGTAGTCCACTGACTGATGGGGGACAGTTTTAATACACGCGTACCGTAAGCATCAGTGCCGATTTGCGGGTAGTCCACTGATGGGGGAGGGAAAGGAAGGGAGGGAGGGAAGAAGAGTAGGGCAAGAGAAAGGGAGAAGAAGGCATCTTAAACAGACAAGTGACACAGCACAGGTGGGCTGCAATAGAAGCAGGCCAAACGATGGGGCAAGAGGTCGATTGCATGGGAGGAAAGAGAAACACGTGAACATGGATACGTTATGTCCATTCCAGTCAATATATGCTTCACTACAAAAACGCAAACTCGCCAAGATTCATACTGTACAGGATCTACAGGTTATCATCATGAATGATTCGAGTTCCATAACCTCGCTTTGAGACGTCTGAAAACTAGATTCCATAACCATCATCCACACCATCACATAACCTTCATCCACACCATCACATAACCTTCATCCACACCATCACATAACCTTCATCCACACCCTCACATAACCTTCATCCACACCATCACATAACCTTCATCCACACCCTCACATAACCTTCATCCACACCATCACATAACCTTCATCCACACCATCACATAACCTTCATCCACACCATCACATAACCTTCATCCACACCCTCACATAACCTTCATCCACACCATCACATAACCTTCATCCACACCATCACATAACCTTCATCCACACCCTCACATAACCTTCATCCACACCATCACATAACCTTCATCCACACCCTCACATAACCTTCATCCACACCCTCACATAACCTTCATCCACACCCTCACATAACCTTCATCCACACCATCACATAACCTTCATCCACACCATCACATAACCTTCATCCACACCATCACATAACCTTCATCCACACCCTCACATAACCTTCATCCACACCATCACATAACCTTCATCCACACCATCACATAACCTTCATCCACACCATCACATAACCTTCATCCACACCATCACATAACCTTCATCCACACCATCACATAACCTTCATCCACACCATCACATAACCTTCATCCACACCCTCACATAACCTTCATCCACACCATCACATAACCTTCATCCACACCATCACATAACCTTCATCCACACCATCACATAACCTTCATCCACACCATCACATAACCTTCATCCACACCCTCACATAACCTTCATCCACACCATCACATAACCTTCATCCACACCATCACATAACCTTCATCCACACCCTCACATAACCTTCACATACCTTCATCCACACCATCACATAACCTTCATCCACACCCTCACATAACCTTCATCCACACCATCACATAACCTTCATCCACACCATCACATAACCTTCATCCACACCCTCACATAACCTTCATCCACACCATCACATAACCTTCATCCACACCATCACATAACCTTCATCCACACCTCACATAACCTTCATCCACACCATCACATAACCTTCATCCACACCATCACATAACCTTCATCCACACCCTCACATAACCTTCATCCACACCATCACATAACCTTCATCCACACCATCACATAACCTTCATCCACACCATCACATAACCTTCATCCACACCATCACATAACCTTCATCCACCACCCTCACATAACCGTTCATCCACACCCTCACATAACCTTCATCCACACCCTCACATAACCTTCATCCACACCCTCACATAACCTTCATCCACACCCTCACATAACCTTCATCCACACCATCACATAACCTTCATCCACACCCTCACATAACCTTCATCCACACCCTCACATAACCTTCATCCACACCCTCACATAACCTTCATCCACACCATCACATAACCTTCATCCACACCCTCACATAACCTTCATCCACACCCATCACATAACCTTCATCCACACCATCACATAACCTTCATCCACACCCTCACATAACCTTCATCCACACCATCACATAACCTTCATCCACACCCTCACATAACCTTCATCCACACCCTCACATAACCTTCATCCACACCCTCACATAACCTTCATCCACACCCTCACATAACCTTCATCCACACCCTCACATAACCTTCATCCACACCCTCACATAACCTTCATCCACACCCTCACATAACCTTCATCCACACCATCACATAACCTTCATCCACACCCTCACATAACCTTCATCCACACCCTCACATAACCTTCATCCACACCCTCACATAACCTTCATCCACACCCTCACATAACCTTCATCCACACCCTCACATAACCTTCATCCACACCCTCACATAACCTTCATCCACACCCTCACATAACCTTCATCCACACCCTCACATAACCTTCATCCACACCCTCACATAACCTTCATCCACACCCTCACATAACCTTCATCCACACCATCACATAACCTTCATCCACACCCTCACATAACCTTCATCCACACCCTCACATAACCTTCATCCACACCCTCACATAACCTTCATCCACACCATCACATAACCTTCATCCACACCCTCACATAACCTTCATCCACACCCTCACATAACCTTCATCCACACCATCACATAACCTTCATCCACACCCTCACATAACCTTCATCCACACCATCACATAACCTTCATCCACACCCTCACATAACCTTCATCCACACCATCACATAACCTTCATCCACACCCTCACATAACCTTCATCCACACCCTCACATAACCTTCATCCACACCATCACATAACCTTCATCCACACCCTCACATAACCTTCATCCACACCATCACATAACCTTCATCCACACCCTCACATAACCTTCATCCACACCATCACATAACCTTCATCCACACCATCACATAACCTTCATCCACACCCTCACATAACCTTCATCCACACCATCACATAACCTTCATCCACACCATCACATAACCTTCATCCACACCATCACATAACCTTCATCCACACCCTCACATAACCTTCATCCACACCATCACATAACCTTCATCCACACCATCACATAACCTTCATCCACACCATCACATAACCTTCATCCACACCATCACATAACCTTCATCCACACCCTCACATAACCTTCATCCACACCCTCACATAACCTTCATCCACACCATCACATAACCTTCATCCACACCATCACATAACCTTCATCCACACCATCACATAACCTTCATCCACACCCTCACATAACCTTCATCCACACCATCAAATAACCTTCATCCACACCCTCACATAACCTTCATCCACACTATCACATAACCTTCATCCACACCATCACATAACCTTCATCCACACCATCACATAACCTTCATCCACACCATCACATAACCTTCATCCACACCATCACATAACCTTCATCCACACCCTCACATAACCTTCATCCACACCATCACATAACCTTTATCCACACCATCACATAACCTTCATCCACACCATCACATAACCTTCAACCACACCCTCACATAACCTTCATCCACACCCTCACATAACCTTCATCCACACCCTCACATAACCTTCATCCACACCATCACATAACCTTCATCCACACCATCACATAACCTTCATCCACACCCTCACATAACCTTCATCCACACCATCACATAACCTTCATCCACACCCTCACATAACCTTCATCCACACCCTCACATAACCTTCATCCACACCATCACATAACCTTCATCCACACCCTCACATAACCTTCATCCACACCATCACATAACCTTCATCCACACCATCACATAAACTTCATCCACACCATCACATAACCTTCATCCACACCCTCACATAACCTTCATCCACACCCTCACATAACCTTCATCCACACCCTCACATAACCTTCATCCACACCATCACATAACCTTCATCCACACCATCACATAACCTTCATCCACACCCTCACATAACCTTCATCCACACCCTCACATAACCTTCATCCACACCATCACATAACCTTCATCCACACCATCACATAACCTTCATCCACACCATCACATAACCTTCATCCACACCCTCACATAACCTTCATCCACACCCTCACATAACCTTCATCCACACCATCACATAACCTTCATCCACACCATCACATAACCTTCATCCACACCATCACATAACCTTCATCCACACCCTCACATAACCTTCATCCACACCCTCACATAACCTTCATCCACACCCTCACATAACCTTCATCCACACCCTCACATAACCTTCATCCACACCCTCACATAACCTTCATCCACACCGTCACATAACCTTCATCCACACCCTCACATAACCTTCATCCACACCCTCACATAACCTTCATCCACACCCTCACATAACCTTCATCCACACCATCACATAACCTTCATCCACACCCTCACATAACCTTCATCCACACCATCACATAACCTTCATCCACACCCTCACATAACCTTCATCCACACCCTCACATAACCTTCATCCACACCATCACATAACCTTCATCCACACCCTCACATAACCTTCATCCACACCATCACATAACCTTCATCCACACCATCACATAACCTTCATCCACACCATCACATAACCTTCATCCACACCCTCACATAACCTTCATCCACACCCTCACATAACCTTCATCCACACCATCACATAACCTTCATCCACACCATCACATAACCTTCATCCACACCATCACATAACCTTCATCCACACCCTCACATAACCTTCATCCACACCATCAAATAACCTTCATCCACACCCTCACATAACCTTCATCCACACTATCACATAACCTTCATCCACACCATCACATAACCTTCATCCACACCATCACATAACCTTCATCCACACCATCACATAACCTTCATCCACACCATCACATAACCTTCATCCACACCCTCACATAACCTTCATCCACACCATCACATAACCTTCATCCACACCATCACATAACCTTCATCCACACCATCACATAACCTTCATCCACACCCTCACATAACCTTCATCCACACCATCACATAACCTTCATCCACACCATCACATAACCTTCATCCACACCCTCACATAACCTTCATCCACACCATCACATAACCTTCATCCACACCCTCACATAACCTTCATCCACACCCTCACATAACCTTCATCCACACCATCACATAACCTTCATCCACACCCTCACATAACCTTCATCCGCACCATCACATAACCTTCATCCACACCATCACATAACCTTCATCCACACCATCACATAACCTTCATCCACACCCTCACATAACCTTCATCCACACCCTCACATAACCTTCATCCACACCATCACATAACCTTCATCCACACCATCACATAACCTTCATCCACACCATCACATAACCTTCATCCACACCCTCACATAACCTTCATCCACACCATCAAATAACCTTCATCCACACCCTCACATAACCTTCATCCACACTATCACATAACCTTCATCCACACCATCACATAACCTTCATCCACACCATCACATAACCTTCATCCACACCATCACATAACCTTCATCCACACCATCACATAACCTTCATCCACACCCTCACATAACCTTCATCCACACCATCACATAACCTTCATCCACACCATCACATAACCTTCATCCACACCATCACATAACCTTCATCCACACCCTCACATAACCTTCATCCACACCATCACATAACCTTCATCCACACCATCACATAACCTTCATCCACACCCTCACATAACCTTCATCCACACCATCACATAACCTTCATCCACACCCTCACATAACCTTCATCCACACCCTCACATAACCTTCATCCACACCATCACATAACCTTCATCCACACCCTCACATAACCTTCATCCACACCATCACATAACCTTCATCCACACCATCACATAAACTTCATCCACACCATCACATAACCTTCATCCACACCCTCACATAACCTTCATCCACACCCTCACATAACCTTCATCCACACCATCACATAACCTTCATCCACACCATCACATAACCTTCATCCACACCATCACATAACCTTCATCCACACCCTCACATAACCTTCATCCACACCCTCACATAACCTTCATCCACACCATCACATAACCTTCATCCACACCATCACATAACCTTCATCCACACCATCACATAACCTTCATCCACACCCTCACATAACCTTCATCCACACCCTCACATAACCTTCATCCACACCCTCACATAACCTTCATCCACACCCTCACATAACCTTCATCCACACCCTCACATAACCTTCATCCACACCGTCACATAACCTTCATCCACACCCTCACATAACCTTCATCCACACCCTCACATAACCTTCATCCACACCCTCACATAACCTTCATCCACACCATCACATAACCTTCATCCACACCCTCACATAACCTTCATCCACACCATCACATAACCTTCATCCACACCCTCACATAACCTTCATCCACACCCTCACATAACCTTCATCCACACCATCACATAACCTTCATCCACACCCTCACATAACCTTCATCCACACCATCACATAACCTTCATCCACACCATCACATAACCTTCATCCACACCATCACATAACCTTCATCCACACCCTCACATAACCTTCATCCACACCCTCACATAACCTTCATCCACACCATCACATAACCTTCATCCACACCATCACATAACCTTCATCCACACCATCACATAACCTTCATCCACACCCTCACATAACCTTCATCCACACCATCAAATAACCTTCATCCACACCCCTCACATAACCTTCATCCACACTATCACATAACCTTCATCCACACCATCACATAACCTTCATCCACACCATCACATAACCTTCATCCACACCATCACATAACCTTCATCCACACCATCACATAACCTTCATCCACACCCTCACATAACCTTCATCCACACCATCACATAACCTTCATCCACACCATCACATAACCTTCATCCACACCATCACATAACCTTCATCCACACCCTCACATAACCTTCATCCACACCATCACATAACCTTCATCCACACCATCACATAACCTTCATCCACACCATCACATAACCTTCATCCACACCATCACATAACCTTCATCCACACCCTCACATAACCTTCATCCACACCCTCACATAACCTTCATCCACACCCTCACATAACCTTCATCCACACCATCACATAACCTTCATCCACACCATCACATAACCTTCATCCACACCATCACATAACCTTCATCCACACCCTCACATAACCTTCAACCACACCATCAAATAACCTTCATCCACACCCTCACATAACCTTCATCCACACTATCACATAACCTTCATCCACACCATCACATAACCTTCATCCACACCATCACATAACCTTCATCCACACCATCACATAACCTTCATCCACACATCACATAACCTTCATCCACACCCTCACATAACCTTCATCCACACCATCACATAACCTTTATCCACACCATCACATAACCTTCATCCACACCATCACATAACCTTCAACCACACCCTCACATAACCTTCATCCACACCATCACATAACCTTCATCCACACCCTCACATAACCTTCATCCCCACCATCACATAACCTTCATCCACACCCTCACATAACCTTCATCCACACCATCACATAACCTTTATCCACACCATCACATAACCTTCATCCACACCATCACATAACCTTCAACCACACCCTCACATACCTTCATCCACACCCTCACATAACCTTCATCCACACCCTCACATCACATAACCTTCATCCACACCATCACATAACCTTCATCCACACCATCACATAACCTTCATCCACACCCTCACATAACCTTCATCCACACCATCACATAACCTTCATCCACACCCTCACATAACCTTCATCCACACCCTCACATAACCTTCATCCACACCATCACATAACCTTCATCCACACCCTCACATAACCTTCATCCACACCATCACATAACCTTCATCCACACCATCACATAACCTTCATCCACACCATCACATAACCTTCATCCACACCCTCACATAACCTTCATCCACACCCTCACATAACCTTCATCCACACCATCACATAACCTTTATCCACACCATCACATAACCTTCATCCACACCATCACATAACCTTCAACCACACCCTCACATAACCTTCATCCACACCCTCACATAACCTTCATCCACACCCTCACATAACCTTCATCCACACCCTCACATAACCTTCATCCACACCCTCACACGCGAGCGACAGGACCCAGCATACAAAACATGGTGAGTCGAGACGAGTTGAAGTGCAGAGGCGCCCTCCAGTCCGGATTGGAGTTGATGCCATCGTTGCTGGGAGGGAATGGTGGGGGAGAGGGAGGAAACACGGGGAAGGAGAAGATGGAAGTCTGGGAGGCGTAGAGAAGAAGGGGAGTTGGGGAGCAAGGGGATTTGGGGAGCAAGGGGATTTGGGGAGCAAGGGGATTTGGGGAGCAAGGGGAATTGGGGAGCAAGGGGAATTGGGGAGCAAGGGGAATTGGGGAGCAAGGGGAATTGGGGAGCAAGGGGAATTGGGGAGCAAGGGGAATTGGGTAGCAAGGGGAATTGGGGAGCTAGGGCAATTGGTGTAAAAGCGTGAGCAATCAGGACCAGAAAAACATGAGAAATGGCGTGAGCGAAAGGGGGGCGAGCATACGAGCCGGGGATGAAGAAGAGGTTCCACTCCTTTGTGGGGTCATCCGTGGTTGTCGCTGCCACTATCAGCCCTGAGCCCACTGTCACGTTGCCTCGCCTCCTCGTCTGCCCAAACTTGTCATACGTGTTGTTGGCACCCCCGGACTGGGAGTGGGGAGGGATGGGAATGGGAGGGAGGGCGATGTTTGAGAGTGTAATCAGAGGAAGGACAATGAGAAGGAAGAGAATGGCTGAGGAAATCGAGCAGAAGAGAATGAAGGAGGAAAACGAGAGGGAGAGAATGGGGTCTAGGAATGACGAGGGTTAAAGGAGATTGTTGTTAAACCTACATGTTTTTATCCCCCCTGAATCAACACAAAGGACCGTTTGAGAGAGGAATACGAGAGGGAGTACAATACTCCAAGAGGGGGGAAAGGTTCGTACTGGGAAAGTGGCGCGAGGAGGGAGGAAACAAGAGAGGGAGGAATCAACCTTAGGGAGGAAATGAGGGAGGTGGGAATGCCGTGGCAGGATCAGCGCTCAATACTTGGGTGAATGGCTCAAGACCAAGGCTATGCCACACCCACAGTCCAGAAGGTGGAGAGGTAGAAGCGCTTTGCCTGGCGGTCATACGTGCATGTCATGTCGCCGATGCTGTCGCTAAACGCTGATGTGCTGGCTTCATTCAGCACCCAGCAGCACCCAGCAGCACCGCACAGCACCGCACGCTCTAGTGCACCCCCACCACGACTCACAGTCCAGTAGGTGGAGAGGTAGAACGCCTGGCCCGGGGGTCATATGTGCATCTCATGTCGCCAATGTCTCCGAACACTGATGCGTTGGATTCATCCAGCACCCAGCAGCACCCAGCAGCACCGAGCCGCAGCCAGCAGCACCCAGCAGCACCGCACACTCTAGTGCATCACCACCACCCACTCACAGTCCAGTAGGTGGAGAGGTAGAAACGCCTGGCCCGGGGGTCATATGTGCATCTCACGTCGCCAATGTCTCCGAACACTGATGCGTTGGATTCATCCAGCACCCAGCAGCACCCAGCAGCACCGAGCCGCAGCCAGCAGCACCCAGCAGCACCCCACACTCTAGTGCATCACCACCACCCACTCACAGTCCAGTAGGTGGAGAGGTAGAAACGCCTGGCCCGGGGGTCATATGTGCATCTCACGTCGCCAATGTCCTCCGAACACTGATGCGTTGGATTCATCCAGCACCCAGCAGCACCCAGCAGCACCGAGCCGCAGCCAGCAGCACCCAGCAGCACCCACACTCTAGTGCATCACCACCACCCACTCACAGTCCAGTAGGTGGAGAGGTAGAAAACGCCTGGCCCGGGGGTCATATGTGCATCTCACGTCGCCAATGTCTCCGAACACTGATGCGTTGGATTCATCCAGCACCCAGCAGCACCCAGCAGCACCGAGCCGCAGCCAGCAGCACCCAGCAGCACCGCACACTCTAGTGCATCACCACCACCCACTCACAGTCCAGTAGGTGGAGAGGTAGAAGCGCTTGGCCTGGCGGTCATATGTGCATGTCATGTCGCCGATGCTGTCCCCGAATACTGATGCGTTGAGAGGCTGTCTCCTCTCCACCACTGATGGTAGAACCCCGAAGAACTGGCGTGGGGGCCGTGAAAGGAGGGGTGGGTGGTGGGATGGTAGGATGGTGTCAGTTTATTAGTTGATTACTGATGTGTTGAGAGGCTCTCTCCTCTCCACCACTGATGGCAGGACCTTGAAAATCTGGTGGGATGATTGTGGAGGGAGGGAGGGCGGACGGTGGGATTGTGTTGGTGTGTGAAGAAGTTTGTTACTGTACCATCGATGGCGGCACCCTGACGAAGTGACAGCAAGGGAGGAGAGGGGCAGCGGGTGATCGGGGCCCTTGTCGCCCGCTCCACCCGCTGCTGCGGGTGGAGTGTGTGGTGCGGGTGGAGTGTGTGGTGCGGGTGGAGTGTGTGGTGCGGGTGGAGTGTGTGGTGCGGGTGGAGTGTGTGGTGCGGGTGGAGGAGTGTGTGGTGCGGGTGGAGGAGTGTGTGGTGCGGGTGGAGGAGTGTGTGGTGCGGGTGGAGGAGTGT